TCTTGCTTAATATTTGGAGTACAAAGACAATATTGTGATGTCTTTAGAATGCTAAGAACCTCTTTCCAACAGTAAATGAAACTCAAAATGTGTTTGAGTGAATGTGACTGAAAATGTTCACTAATATGAGTCACAAATGGTGAAAAACGTTCATTTTGTTTACCATTGTTTTGGGAAATTTGATTTAATAAATGACATTTTTTTGTAAGGCAACCTCACTTTTTCATTGCTTAACTATAACATATACTCTTACCAGCTTGTCAAAACAATGCTATTTACTGCTTTTTATAAAGAAATACAATTAATATTATGCAGAATTGAGTTCAGCCTTTTGGCCCGGCCCTCCACAATATTTTCAGTTTCTCATGTGGCCCCATGGAAAAAATAATTGCCCACCCCTGTTCTAGACGGACAACTTTTTGGTGCTCGAAACGAACCGGATTCCGGAGCTTAGAGGCTGCTCCGCTGCGGTGTGAACAGGAAAACCCGGTGCTTTTAAAGCTCCAGCTCCGAACCGAATAACATGGCAATTTTTTAGCCGTTACCAAAACACATCAGGACCCCAGCATCCCTTCTACCCACAATGTGTTTCGGCACATTTGTGTTTTTTTTCTGCCCGTTTAACAGCCTCATCTTTGTCAAGCTTTCTTATGTTCTTTCTCTAACACGTAATGAAGGTTATTAAGCGTTTTAGCTCCTGTGTTGTTAATATTGACCGCCATTTCCTTTATGAAGTAAAGCAGCCTCCCTGTCTGTGTCCTCGCGCTGTCCTCACATCCCCGGACCCCCAGACTCGGAGGAGCACAGGGATGTCAATATTGTTTATGAAGCAGGGTAAAGAAAGTAAATTATTGAAATGAAAATACTATTTATTTACTTTTACAAACAGTGAGCAGCTGGGCAGCATGTGTATTGCAGGACATGTGTTGGACAGACAGAGTGTGTGGTTGGACAGGCAGGTTGCAGTGTAACATCAGAGAAGACTGGGACTCAGCACGATAGATTCAAACACACAGAGACGAGACAAGAAGAGAGAAACAGTCGGAGTAATTTCAAATGGCGTGCTCAAAAAAGAGAAAGGTAGACAGCGAAAACAGAGCATTTAATGACATTTTCTCTTACTGGACCTCTTTAAAATGCAATTGAATGCCCCTGCATTATAGCAACAACAACAATAATAATAATAGCAAAAATAATTGGGAGGGGGGGCGCGGCTGTTCTTATGTTCTCTGAGGGGAGGCTCACCTTCCCACATTTTGAAAACCCCTGCTCTACAGCAAACACCCGTGTTTTCTTTACAGTTGCTGAGTTCTTGCACACATTAGCAAAGTGATTATGTTTTCCACACTTTTTACACTTTTGTCCATATGCAGGGCATTTCTCCTTTTTCCTTTCATGTCTCCGGCCACAGAATTTACACTGAATGGTGTTCACTTCTTCCGCCGCTTCTGTTTTTTCTTTCTGTCTCTCTTTTTGTAGTACTGCATGCACATTCAGCGAACTCTGTGCCTCTATGATTTTGGTTCTCTGTCTGGAAAGCTCTGATGCCCTCCCGAGTTGTATACATTTATTTAATGTAAGATCTGTTTCTCTGAGAAGTTGTTCTCTTAACTGTGAATGCCATGTTCCACACACTATCCTATCTCTGATTAGAGAGTCTGAAATAATGCCAAAGTTGCAAGTTGCTGCTAACGTTCTCAGTTCTTTTAGATATTCGTCCAAACTCTCTTCTTGGCCCTGACTTCTTGTAAAGAAATTGTATCTTTCAATAGTTTCATTCTTCTTGGGTCACAAAATGCATCCAATGCTGCCAATACTTCATCTATGTACAATTCTTCTTCATTTCTTCCAACTCCCAATGTTGCACATACTTCTCTTCCTTTTTCTCCAATCAGGTAGTACAGCAGTTTTACCTTGTATCCATCATCTTTGTCTTCCATAGTTAGATCCATGTACAAACAGAGTTCCTCCTTCCATCTTTTCCACGCATGTGACAAGTTAGCATCATCAAAGTCAATTTTACCCGGCGGTTTGATTGCATTCTCCATGTCTACTCGTGCGTAGCGCTGTCACTCGAGTCGTCTTCTTAGCTCCCTCTCGCTAGCCACTCACTCAATCCTCGTGGTGCGCTAAAACGCTGTTCTCCAGGGCTGGATTTGTGTTGCTGCCACCATGTTTCAATATGTATTGTGTACTATACTGATAATAACGACACACTCTATCTTACTCTCACGTACTTTACTTGTAATGTTCCACAAGATACAATGCAACATCCTAGCCGTGCTAACTTCAGAACTGACGCTCATGCCTGGTCCCTCGGCTCCTGTCGTCCCCGCGGGCCAGCTGTGCATCAACAAATAATGTCCCCCTGGCCAACGTATATTGCAACAGGTACCATTCTTTCCCAGAGGCCTGTACTACAAATCCAGTTCACCCTGAATATGTTTGAGTTATCTGGCTTACCTAATCCAAAACAAACGCGCTCTCGCTAAACGGTCCTACGACGCTGGTTATCAACTCGGTAACTCAAGCCAGGGTTTCTCTGTCCCGGCTGAGTGCGCGTTCACATGAAAGGGGCGGGGCTAGCTACATTTGACCAATCACAAACATGGAGAAGCGTACTGACAGCGCAACGTCATACTTCCTGAATGAAAAGTAAAGTATAATATTAGACATATGAAGACATTAAACTTTAAACATCCAGACTTAAACACTTTATCCAGGATAAAAGCCACATAGCTGCACCTGCAAGGTGAATACAGCTGGTAAAAGAAAAAGTGTTTGAATGCGTACATTAACAGGTTTATGAAATCACTGCCAAGACACGAGTGGATCTGACTTTAATTACATTTGACTCAAGTGTTTCGTTAACTTAATGTGTTGCTTAAAATAATACTTCTGCAGTATGTGACACTGTAAGTGGCCAGATACGGCTCAAGAAGCTGACTCAAATAAGGAAATATATGATACATTATGATGTGATATGATGTGATATGAATGATAATGGGACACATCGACGTCTGCACTCACAGTGCCGCAGACTGTACGTAATGTTACTTTGATCCGGTTACTTGTGTTATGGCAGATATTTAAGTAAGCTTTCTTAACGCTAATGTTATAATAGTCAGATTGCTCTGAAGATGGGAGGTGATATTCTATTCATTTTCACGTTCACACAGTCGGTGATTTTTGCCGGCCGTCTTTCCTGCAACGGCAGTCTAAACTGTATTTCCTTTCTCCTGTAATATGACTTGATAGCTTTAAACTCCGCACACTGAGCTCTGATTGGTCAGCAGGCGGTGCTTTCACTGAGTTGATCTCTTATCCTGGAACCTAACCTGCTCCGGACCAGGCTAGCCGTTCAGCATAAGTTACCATGGAGATCTAGCCCGCTAAGAAGTGAACCAGCGTCGTAGGACCGGAAACCCAGAGTTTTACCTGAAGTTAGCTCGCTAAGCGAAAATCCGGCTTCGTAGTACAGGCCTCAGGTTTCCACATACCAACATCAACACAAACATGTGGGGGGCTTTTTTAGATCACACAGTTCACCTCAGCAGACATGACTATTTCATTTGAAGGCATGAGACAGAAAGCTTCCATCCCCTCTGAAAGAGACTTTTAGTACTTTTTAGATTTTGAGCACTCATGGTTTCAATTGTTTTAAGTTTTCAAAAGAGAGTAACAAACGTAAAACAAAATGTAAACAAGAGTAAAAGTGAATGATGGACTGTAGAGCAACATAATGTGAGCATGCAACATATTCCTCGTAGTAAATCAAATGCAAAGTATTTTTGCCTCAATTTAAAAAATGCCTTGTGTTGACTTTTAAAGAACATCATACATTTCTATTTAGCTGCCCCTCAGTCAATGCAGAGAAAATACTGAAACAGAATCCCCGTGATCCTGGACACGTCAGGTTTTTTTTCATCACATGAACAAATCTTTCTTTGGCTTTGTACTGGAAATCAGAACGAATTGTAACCAAACACAGAGACAACATCTGGGATTATGTTTGGTTAAAAAAATACTATTATGATCTTGCTTTATGTATTATCTGTCTAGTGTTTTATTTTGACGATTTCTCAATGCCATGTATTTTTTTACTTCCAGTCTTTGTGTGTTTTTTTCAGCCTGTTTTGATGGTTTGTTCTGGCCTTATTAGTTTCACCTGTTTCCCATTAGCCCTTCAACCACCTGTCCTCCAGTACACCTGCACTTCATCCCGTCATTAGTTCAGTTGTTTTTAAATCTTGTCTTTTGTTTAGTCATTCTTGGACCCTTGTATGTTGTGAAGTTCTGTTCTGTTTGCATTGCATTGCCCACCCATTTGGTCCACCCCCACTTTCCAGGTAAACCTTCTCATATAGTTGGACACCACTGGCGTATATCTGCCTTGCTATTTACCTAATATATTTTCTATAGTTGTAACAAATGTCCCTGTGCAATGCAAACATTTGCAACCAGTCAGGACTAATATCATGGATCAGAGGTCATATTTGAGCCAACACAGTCAATGCAATCAATCCTCAACTTTGAGAAAGATTTGTTCATGATCAAAACCATCATCTAAGTTTAGAGGACTAACAGGGCTTTCTTTTTTAGGGAAGATTATTATAAAAAAGAAAGATAAACAAACAGTGGGATACTGGCCTCTAGAAATATTATTGCTAGTATATGGAAGCCGCCTTCCTTGTATTTTTAAAGACTAAATACAGTCAATATTTGAATGTAATACTAACATATCTTAACCTACCTACTATAATTCCCACATTTTACATTTTACTTCTGATCCCTTTGGCAATTCATACTGTAATTGTGTTTCCAAACCACAGTCAGGTCCTCACTAGTGGTTTACTGCATGTAGCCTGTGACATCATTAAGTCTTTATCCAGTTCGTCTTATATCAACAGAGCATTGAGCCCTCTGACTGGTCCATTCACAGCCCTGTGAGTCTTTGACCCCTGACGCCTGTGACCTTCAGTTCTAATAAACCCCTCCTGCAGGCCACCGAGGGGAGATGGTCGCTCGTCCACATCGTGCCATGTCCGCCTCACTCCTCTTCCAGAGCGTGTCACACACTGACGTGCACGTGACGGGACAATCCTGAGCGCCGTTTAATGCGTGAGCGTCGAGGTCTTGATTCGGACTGGCAGCTGCACAGAGGGCCCAGCAGCAGCCAGAGGTAGAGGATCACACAGGCCCAGCACGACGACATCTTCACCAAGAAGGTAGACCAGCTGCCGTGGGTAAAGGTAGTCTCCAAAACTGCTGACTCATAGCTGCAGGAGGACAACACAATTTGAGGCAGGAAAACATAAGTTGCTTAGGGACTGGTGAAAACACATTAATAACCATATATTTTTTAAAGCTATACAGAGATGGTATGAATAATCCCCAGCATTTTATTAAGGTATTAGAAAACACGTGCCAAGTAAAAACCACATTTCACATCCAAGGTTTCTTAACAGCTGACATGGAGAACCCAGAGAAAAGTGGAAGTTTACACTACAGGAGGAAGCTCTCGTGTAAGAAGAAGCTTGAAAGTGAGGCCAAGCTGACAATATTTAAAATCATGCAGTGCCAGTTAAAAAACAAAAAGAGGGTTCTGGAAAATCAGCTGACAGAAATCTGACAAAGATAAGGTGAAGATGAGAAAGGAGGAAAAGAAGGAAAGGAAAGAGGCATCCCCTATCCTTCACTCTTCCAAGTGTCGCGTGATTCCACAGTCTCACAAATGAAATAGAAACACGTTCTTTTTATTTTCTGTGAGGTTGTGCTCAAGACATATTTGGAGTGTCATAACATGGCAATTTTTTAGCCGTTACCAAAATACATCAGGACCCCAGCATCCCTTCTACCCACAATGTGTTTCGGCACATTTGTGTTTTTTTATTTGCATAGTTTTTGTAACTGCAGCGCGTATTATGGCGTACAAATTTCTCCTAATGTAACTTATGTACAATACTTGAGTAAATGTAATTTATTACATCCACCACTACCGGATACACACTCTTACAAAAAATATTCCCTGTCCTTCAGCTATAATACATTACATTACATTACATTGCATTTAGCTGACGCTAATAAAATAATAAAACATATACTACTCTTCACCTTAATTGATCCTTCACTCCCACTATAATTTCCATACATCCCATAGTATAAACTAACCTGAACCAGTTAGTGAGGGTCATCATGACGTACAGCGAGGCCAGGAAGAAGACGAAGTGGAAGAAGAAGTAGCTGTAGGCCACTCTCTGCGTCTCGTTGTGGACAACCTTCTGACAGCCTTTGCTGTCGTCCTCCATCACAAACTCTTCCTCAGCTGAAAAGGAAAATGTGCAACTGTCACAGCCAACTTCAAACATCACTGCATTTATAGTAGATCAATTCAAATGGTGAACTTGTACACACTGCAGGAATCAGAGCTAAATATGGATCCCCAATCTCTCCATGCAGAATTCAATTTAATTTGCAGAACAGCTAAAGACTTATGAGGACAATGTTTTGATGTACTGCCCATCCAGTAGCCTATAGGTTGAAATAGATTTTGAATATACAGTAGGCTACATACTTGTTGAGGGTGCTACTTTCATCAACTTGTATAGCCCTCTAATGGCCACTAAACACTGGTTTAAATAAATATCCTTAAATAGTCAATATGCAAACAACTGTCATGGTTGCAGCAACTAACTGAACACAGAAATGAATTACAGTTTGCCCCGCCACCTTCACTTTAACCCCACCCTCCTTTATAAATAACCTTAGCGCTTGCATTTTCAACATATTGATGCTGAAGATCACAATGATTTTATTCTCCGTTGTCAAGATTTTTGGTAGTGCCTAACTGAGCATCATTCAGACTAATGAATCGGAGCTTTCTTCCAACGTTGTATCCACTTCTCTTTATACATCCACGCGCATACCTGGTCGCAGCAATTAGCAATTTGCGCTTGATGTTATTTGTATTGCCCTGCCTTGTAAAATACAAACAAATACATTTACCTTCAATAATGTTTTTCACCCAGATATGACATTTTCTGTGCCTGAATACTGCAAACATAGATTTTACACAACCTCCAACCTTAGTATCGTCTAGTCCATGACACCATCTTTTTTATTTCTGTGGTTGACATTTCTCCCGCTCTTGTTTGTATGTAAAACGTGCATACATGAAACGAAAGCACAACAATTATCAAAACATAGCTTGAATTGCCTGGATGTTGGACCCTGGACCACCTTCTTGTCTGGCTTTCATCTTAATATTACTGAATGAGTACAATATAGATGCAAAAGTACCCCACCAAGCACCTTTAAGAAAACAGATTTATAATATTAACGTCATCAGAACAAACCTTCCTCCTCCTCAGGGCAGCAGAAGCAGCAGGTGGCTTTCTGGAACTCATAGCGATAAACTTTGATCATCCAAAACGGGCCGAACACCTCTGCCAGGTAGGAAGCTTCATTACTGCGGAGAAATTACATTTGAACACACACATATTTCCTCCTTTAAGAAGATGTAAAGTGTAGTAGTGTTAAAGTTATTTCTGTAATTTATTTTTGGAAACATTATGTTTTATGGTATATGGTCATGACAGTGTCATTATTTAAACATATATGATGTTCATAGAGACGACCCACCATGCAAAGAGGACGCAGCAGTACATGATGGCTGCTCCAATGATGGCCACAGCGTTGCCGTCATTCTGGATGTCATGTTGTCCCACGCTGGGGTAACAGGCGGTCATGTTCATGCCCTGATACACCACTGACAGAGAGCAAAACAGCGTGTTAACTTTCACTGTGTTCTTCAGGAAGAATTGCCTTTGTGCTTCATCTACTTGTTTCTCTTCATGGAAAACAATTGAAGACAACATAATACTGAGAAAACAAATGACATTTTCGGTTATACAGGTGAGTATGATGACTGGCGTACATTTAAAAAATGTCCCAGTTTGGGATCAATAAAGTACATCTTATATTATATAGGTTTTACTGCTGACTCCAGACAAAAGTCTTTACAGATAAACGTACAACACTAGTCTCGTATAGCATCTATGTTTTCTTGGTTAAAGGAAACTAAAAACATGGAAATAGTTTTAGGTGATCAGCTGTTTATAAATCAATTGTTTTGCCTCTTTTTGTAATTGTGTGTGTCTCTGTAGAGTTATTTTGTCTTGCTAGTGATCATTTTGTGTCCGTTTCATACTGTGCTTCTTTGTATTCAATTTGTGTCTTTTCTTGATCATTTTGTGTGTCTTTGTGGTTGTTTTGCCCATGCTTGGTTGTTGTAAGCTTATCGTGGTATCTTTGCAGATTTTTGCTAGATTTTGTAGTTGTTTTTTTATAGTCTTTTAAAATAGACATTCATTTTGTAAGAAAGTAAAAAAACATTAAATGAGAGGCTGATTAGGCCTTTATAAAAACATATTTAAAACATATTTGGAAATGTGGCTCTTGGACAAATGTAGTTGTCTTCCAAGTGTCACTTCAAATGTTTTCTTTCTTTCTCTGTCCTTCCTTTCAAATCCTGGGAAATTCCTGTCTTTCTTGTAAAATATCAGCTGCACTTCTCCTTCAGGGACTCGCTCTCTAAAAGACTCCCCCTCTGGACAACCGCTAGGGTGAACACAGAGTCCTTACAAGCGGAGAACGGAGTAACTGAACGTCACAGCAGGCATAACAACAGCCGGTGTTTCTCGTGTTTTCCCCGGGAAACAAACACAATACACGCAAAAATACACAAACACACACACACATACATACACACACTTGCGAGCTTCCCCCATACCAGTAATCCAAACGAAAATATTTTCCCTCCGCACTATTTTGATCATTTGCTCCGGTAATAACCAATCAGATCGATGGATTCCAGAGAAGAGGAAACTTTGAAGGCCTTTTTCTCAAAATGATGACTTGGTGACAGTCATTATATAATGTGACATATTTTGCTTAATATTTGGAGTACAACAACAATCCTGATATCATTAGAAAGCTAGGAATCTCCTCTTTCCAAGAGTGTATACAACTCAAAATGTGTCTTCGGGTCAATGCGACTGAATTCGATAGAGCAGGTCACATGTACTGTATGCTCACACATGTGCATGCATGTGCAAAGACTGAGGGTCAGTTTCAGTCGGCTGTGGATTCCTGAGAGAAGTTTTTCATTTGTGCGCTGTGTGTGGGGGGTGGAACCTGAACTCAGTGAAAACACTGGCTAATTACAGGACTCAGACTGTTACCTCATCATGACAAACATACACACACACACACACACACACACACACACACACACACACACACACACACACACACACACACACACACACACACACACACACAGGTCAAGAGTCGTCAAGGGAGTGAACATGTCCTGCACTGTGAGTTGTCTTGTCAATAGCACTCTAGACTAATTCTTCCTATCAGAAACGTGTGTGTGTGTGTGTGTGTGTGTGTGTGTGTGTGTGTGTGTGTGTGTGTGTGTGTGTGTGTGTGTGTGTGTGTGTGTGTGTGTGTGTGTGTGTTTGTTGGTGAGGTCATAGAGCAGAATAAGCCTTCCGGGGACAGACTAGGCAAACAAAGGCCTAGGAAGACAGTAACGAGAAAGGATGTCTTTGTCAAACACACACACACACACACACACACACACACACACACACACACACACACACACACACACACACACACACACCCACACACACACACCCACACACACACACACACAGACACAGACATACGTCCTGCATTGAGATGATTGTATGGCAGATTTATGAATTAAAGTAGCTGAGGAAGGAAACTCAGCAAGACTTAAGTGGGAAATTAAATATCATTCAACGGCAGTGTATGAGTGTCTTTGTGTGGGGTGGTGAAAAGGTGTTTCTGTAACAGATTCAGAGTGCATATTTTCTCAACAAGTTGCTACAATGTCCTGCAATGCCCCAGGACTCACACATACACACACCTGCTGTACACACTCATACTATACACTCTCACAGTAGGCCTCCTACAGTATGTTCGATACAAAGAAAGACAGAAAACTTAGTCAGAAGTCACGTTAATATGTTAATTGTTATTTCTTCCAACCTAATATTCAATGGAAATGCAATTTTTGTTTCTTCAAAGATTGACTTCTATATCATTTTGGCATATAATCATCATTAAATGTTTTCTACATCCTCATACTGTTATTGTTATCCCTCCTTTAGCTAAACAACGTTCTATGAACAATATGAATGATCAATATGGAGAAACAACTGACAGAGACATGTCAATCATGGCTTTCTTTTCCCCAAAATATCTGTTTCCATCGCACTTATGTTAGACTCACAGCATTTAAAGTGGACTCCGTTGGCAACAGTTTTACAGCGAGAGAGAAAAAAGGACCGAAGATAAATATCTTAACCCTAAGCCGTTTGTTGCTGTTTTATGTCAAATGTCTTTCTGTGGAGGACAATGATTGGCAGTTAGTGAAGTCCTCAAACACTCCTGAGGCAGAATTCACATCTTCCAATAGATTGATAAAGAGAACTGGATACAGCATTAGGGGGTCCCCCGTTCATTCCTATAAAAGTTGCTCAGTGGCGCATGAAGCCAAAATGGCCTGACTCTTGAGAGCAAAATTACCCATATGTGGCGAAAGTACCCATACGTCGGGCACACTTGAGTTTTCCTTAAGTCCCACAGAAGCTGGAACCATCGAAAGCTTAGTATTCTTTTGCTGGAAAATCACTTAGTTATTGTATTTGCTGTTTAGGTACTGATTCATTTACTGATTTGTCTTACAACTGACTGATAATAACTACAAATCCTAATAAAACGTAGGACTCAAAAGGCCAGGATTTTAATATTTAATTTGCTAAATTTGCAATTGTTTTGATACAGCTAGTATGTTACCTAATATTTTTGCTTGCATTATCTAAGCTCTGTGTGCATGGTTATGCCGGAAGAAGAGAATTATCATTGGATATAAAGTATTGCCTTTTGCTATCTAGAGAAGGACCTGATTTGCTCTAGACTTGGTCTCCACTTGGTCTTTAACTGTATTTGGTCTCAGACTCCCTATGTTTGTCTTGACTACCCAATGTCTATAATACATGTTTGTCTGTTTGCTAGGTTTGTCTTCTTGCCTTTTCTCTGCTTCATAATCTTTGAATGTTGCATAATGCAAGATATAGAAAGAAGCATGTCCCCTTAAATCTGAAGAACACCTGAGACATGAATTACTGCTGTATCTACAGCAACAGTACACCAACAACTGACCTCCTGTGTGTTCCTCAGCTGTATAAACCAGACCAATAAATCACTCTTCATTGCCAACGAGATATTGACAACGAGTTGCACTTTATCTGATTAACATGACGAGCTGTGTGAGGACCTATGTAATGACGCTGCGAGGCGTATTCCTGTGTTATTATGTTGTCAATGGATCCATGAGGAATGTGAAACAAATATCCTCCTGTCTGCCCTCACCACAGGCCACCGGCCCAGCAGGCAGCATGTCAGAGCACATCTTATCCCAGATTATCTGTGTATGTACGTGTGTGAGTGTACGTCTTTATTTGCATGCGTGCCATTAAGATTTAAACCCAGGATAAGACAGGGGCCTCTGACAAGCCTCTGCTCTAATGTCTCAGTCATGTGGAGGCCCTTTGTCTTACCTGGAGCCAGCAGGTGAGTCATTATGAGAAGCAAAGGCAAATTATAGAGGCATTTAAAATAGCTGTGTGTGTGGTTGTGTGTGGTTGTGTGTGTGTGTGTGTGTGTGTGTGTGTGTGTGTGTGTGTGTGTGTGTGTGTGTGTGTGTGTGTGTGTGTGTGTGTGTGTGTGTGTGTGTGTGTGTGTGTGTGTGTGTGTGTGTGTGTGTGTGTGTGTGTGTGTGTGTGTGTGTGTGTGTGTGTGTGTGTGTGTGTGTGTGTGTGTGTGCAGGATGATGGGATGCAGACACACATTTTGAAACATTTCACAATAAGAGGCTTTTATGGTGAAAATAAAGTCTCAAATAAGTTGACTGTATTAAAGTCTATGAAAAAATTACTTTCACTAGTTTTTTTATCTCAGTAAACACTTTCCTGCCGAGTTTATTGTCTCAATTGCTTGTTTCAAATTGTCTTAAAAACGATCAATACAGCGCAATGTTTAGTTTGTTAAATGATGTAGATGATAAAGCGGTGCATGCTTCAGGGCGGGGTTATCTAGTGATTGACAGGGCACTTCCGTGTTGTCCATCATGTGTTTTTGTCCTACAAATGTAAGCTGTAGCTCCACCCTCTTGTGTCTCATCTGATTCCCGAAACCAAGATGGTGACGGCTAAATGTGCCAAACTCAAGTCTTCAAAACCCTGGTAAACAAACAAAAAAAAAAATCTCCATCTACTCCCAAAAAAACCCCTTATAACTTAAATGCTCTAAATTCACCAGCAAGAAGCTTACATCCACACATTTTTGTATTATTTATTTTTTCCTCATTGATGTAATACATTTATTATCAGCATTATCCTGCAGAATAATCAGTAATTCGTCTTCAAGTTTTCTGTTGTTCTGTGTTTGTTTTTGCTTTTGTTGAATCTGCTCGTTCAATTTCAAAAAGTATATTGTTTTCCTTGTAAAAAAAATTATGTTAATTAGTTTCTGTTTAAAATGTATATGAACATAACAATACATTCCAAATGTTATTTCTGTATAGATGTTGTAATATTACAAAGTTTTCGCAAGACTATACGTCATTATAGTCATTCCAATAGAGTTTTGGGGATTTCATTTAATTGAAAGGTTTAATCATAGTATTGTCGGTTGTCAAAACCAAAATAATAAGCTCAAAGAAGCTGAAATGCTTTGTAGAACGGCAGCATTCCCTCTTTCTTTGGTAGATGTTTTAGCTTCCCTTTCCCAAATTCATTTCACCTGAATGTCACTATTGGCCTGAGTTGATTGGAGGTTATTCAGATCACCTGTTTCATTGGCGGGGCAGAGAATGGTATTTCATAATAGTTAGAGGCATTTTGTAATTATTATTATTATAATTATTATTATTATTATTATTATTATTATTATTATTAAGGAGGCGAGTTTTTCTCATTGTGAGGTCACTGTCAGTGTAGGCCTTTACTATTTGATTATCTTTGAATTGATAAGGTGAGGTCTGTGTGTCAGTGTTAATGCTGGACACATGTTCAGTGGAGCTGCACAGATCTGCTGCTGTGCTCCTGCTCTCTGTCTGTTGGTTAGCGTACCTTTTTCTGGCGGGCGGCTGGACAGCGCAGAGAAAGTGAGATACATGACGTAACAGCTGATGATGGAGGCCTGGAGGAGCCCCGACCGAGGCTGCTCTGCAGGGACAGAGAGAGGAAGTCAGGGTCAGAGTATCCAGCACATACAATATATAATACTTTGCTTTTACAGCCCAAAACACACAACGATGCAAAGATTGGGACCTTATCAAAACTGGGAAAACAACAGTGGAAAAAAAGTGCATTGCCATCCATTGGTTTACTGTTAACAAGAGTAAAGAAGAGACATTGAGTCATTAACAATAACATGCTAATTAGATTCTGCTTATTTTTTTTATACATACATGAAAATCAGGATAAAAACACGAATTCTCATGCAATAAAAAATAAAAGAAAACATCAAGCCTGAATTGGACTGAAATGAGTACTGAAAACGCTCCAAATATGGAGATATGTACACAGTCGGATTTTGGGATATTTGGATAATAATTGGATATCAATACCGATGCATTGTCACATAACAGCTGCTACTAGTTTAATCTTTGAAAATGTGTAATCCCCAAATGATCATGTATTGGTAAAATCATCTGCATAGTTACATGCAACAATAGTTACAATATTACAATAACAATATTTCCCTCTGAAATTCAACATATAGTCTAGTAAAGTAAAGCATCATATACTTATAAATGTTTATTGTTACTCTCATCTCAGTAAGCAGCTGTATGTAAGTCCCAGACATGTGCAGACAGAGCATGGCTTTACTGAACAGTGAATATTAGCTCACATCTAATTATTATTATTATCTGCAGCAGCACTGGTTTCCACAGGGGGATGTTTGCATAGCTGGAGATGAACTAAGTGTTATTTCACCGCTGCACATCGATGACAGACACGCGAGTTGTGTTTCATCAACTCACTCTGCTTCACGCACGGTGTGACGGCAATGAAGGACATGAGGCCGCAGAGCCCCAGGTTGATCCACAGCAGGGCCTTGTTGAACTGGCAGGCCACGGGGTGTGTGTAGTACTTGTACATGAAAGTGAAGGCCATGGTGGCGATAGTGTAGAAGAAGAGGGTGGCACACATCACCGCGATATACCAACGCTTGTTCTCTGCTGCTCCGGTCAACCTGAGGTGGGGGGACAGAGAGAGGGTTGCAGCTTCAGGTGTGTTTTTAGTACTGCTTCACAAACACCTGTTCACACATTTAAGATGAATATTGTTAAAATGTAGGTCAGAAGTGACGTTTTTATCATGAGCATTTCATTGCATCCTAAAGGGACCCTCAATCTTTATGCATTATATGGTGATATAGATAAATGGACTGCATCTATATAGCGCTTTTCCATTCTTCACAACCCTTCAACATACTCTTACATCCACAGAATTAGAATTCAACCTCTTGAATCATGGCTGGATCAATAAAACAAGGTAGCAACGACCAAAACCAAAATGGCGACAGCCAAAATGCCTAACTAGAAGCTTCAAAACGGCAGTCCACAAACAATGGGTGCATCCACTTCTTATATACAACCTATGATCTGGACACAAACCGGGACTTAAGGGTTTATGTTTGGAACACCAACCCCTTCCCCAACATTGGACTATAATGTAGTCTAAAATGTGGGACACATGGGGACATTCATTCATATTGGACCAGTCTATTGGCCTGTGACCTCTGAAAGTATTCCGGAACACACATAGGAAATAAGCAGGGGATTAGTATAGTCTGAAAATAAAAATGTGGAGGAAATTATATTATTTTCCACTCTTTTAACCACCATTCTGAGTAATGAGAGAATCAATTCGATTTTTTTGATAAAGTCAGTGATATATAAGGTAAAAAATGGAAACCCGAAACATAACACACATATGTGGATAGACAAAATCTCCCTCCAAAACTATGAGCATTACACTACTGAGATCTTCTGGTTTCAGCCGTCCACCAGATGTTGGATTCCCAGCCTGGATTGATTCTCATTCAGCTACAACGACATAGGGAGGGTCCAACTCTGATGTTTGTGATAAAGTCTGGCTCGTTCCAGTTCACCCTGAAGGTGTTGGATGGGGTTGAGGTCGGAGCTCTCTGCAGACCAGTAAAGTTATTCAAAATCAAATTGGAAAGCATTTTTTGCATGGAGCTGGCTTTGCACACAAGGACATAATCATGATGAAAAGGGTGAGAGACAAACTTAAAGGTCTCCTATCATGCTATTTTTAGGCATATATTATGGGTCTCAGATATATAAAAAATATATAAAAAACATGTATATGATGTGTTTAGCTAAGAATACCAAACAGATCATGCATTTCAGACATCCCTCATATCCCTCTGTTTCAGCCCTGTAATACCCCTTTCACACCAACGGTGTTTCAGGGCCGGTTCGGTGCTGGTGCTTGAAAAGCACCGGGTTTTCCTGTTCACACCGCAGCGGAGCAGCGTCATAGCTCCGGAATCCGGTTCGTTTCGAGCACCAAAAAGTTGTCCGTCTAGAAGCAAGAACCGCATACGTCACGCTTACGTCGGAGGGGGGCGAGATTAACCTGAGCTAACACTTAAGGCGAGTACGGCAAATAAAAGTTGTAACAAGCAGTAGTGCTGAGCAAAGTGACTAGAACGCAACCACACACTTGTTAAAAAAAACACACTTTATAAAGTCAGGCAACACTAACCAGGCTTCGTGTGATTCTGTTTATTTGTACCTTACTTTGACCATCCGTTCGCTGTTATTGATCATTGTGGAGAGCAGGCAGACGTTTTGTTTGTTATTATAGCAGCTATCGGATGGAATCAATACATGGGCTGCACAGGTTGTCATGTCCGACTATCACAAGTAGAATCATAATGAAAAATACGTCGGTAAAAAGTGCCTGTAGAAAACTGCTTAGCAAGTAGTCAGTTTAGCTTCGGTTGCTATGCTAACATCACCCATGTTATACCAGAGAAAACTTTCATAACAGCGTTGTGATGCCAAACAGCGTCAATTCAGACTGACACCAAACAGCGTCAATTCAGACTGACACACATTCACTTAAGGGGAACTGGGGATATGTATCAGCTGCTTGTGTGACAGTCAGACAGTGAATACTTTAGAGCCGTGTGAGCTAACCCGGAGCTAACGGGAGAATACACTCCCGTTGAAGAGCAGCCGGCCAGCACTGCAGCGGTCGGTAAATGCCGCTGAAACACATTAATAAACAATGAACCACGGCACTCTGGAGAAAAGTATAAGGTTGGAGAAGTCGTTATTTAATTTAATCTGGCTTCGTATGATTAAAAGCAACGCAGTCCCCGGCCCGTTGTTGTGAGGTGAGCTCCGGCGTTGGGGAGAAACTCAGCGACGTAAACTGTGACGTCATGACGCAGCAGCGGCAGCACCAGTCGGGCTCTGAGCGGTGTGAAAAGAGCCGGCGCTAAACCGAAGAACCGGTTCTGAACCAGAAAAGCTCTAGCACGGAGCTTGAACCGGAGTTGCGTTGGTGTGAAAGGGGCATTAGAGAACTGCAGGTTCGGGGTCCTTAGCTTGAATGCCTGCTCAGAATTCTACTGGCAGATGCACCTAAATGCTGCAGTGATTAAATGCCATATCATGTTCCAAATACATCAAGGATTATTTCTGAAACAGTATGGAGCTCAAATGCTTTTTCTCTTGCCGGTCTACCACAAGGTGAGTTTTTTTTTTTATTTCCTGCTTTTTTACACATACTCTCTCCAGTACAGCTTAGCTCTGAGTGTTCGCTAATGTAAACAAAGACCATATTACGGGCATTGTTTCTGATAGCAACTTTCTGATAGTGCCATGGGTCCGCATTTCCGATATTATGTCATATCGGCAGCAAATCTGGATCAGCTCCGTTGTACCCCCGTTTTTAAAGATTTGTGTACGGAGGAAAAGAGAGAGGGTTTTATTTTCTGACGCTGCGTGAGTTCCCTGACACACCGGGGACACATATTTATGTATAAAAGACATCAAAACATGCATTTTGCATAATAGGTCCCCTTTAAACTCAAGCCATGCAGCTGAAAGAATAGTACTCTGAGTGAAATGATTCTTATTGTAAAAAGTATCATTTGTTTATGTAGGATTGTTTCGGTGTAGATGATATAAAGAGGACATAATAATGCTCATTTTCAAGTTCATGTTTGTATGTTGTGTCTCTACTGTGACATGTCTCCATGCTTTAATGTTCAAAAAGCTCTCTATTTTCCTCATACTGCCTGTGCTGCAGCACCTCTTTTCACCCTATGTCTGAAACCAGAGCCCAGTCTGCTCTGATTGGTTAGTTGTCCTGCTCTGTTGTGATTGGTCAACCGTCTAGAGATGTCCCGCCCCTTAGCCTATCACTTACAATGTGTTGGAGCGCTAGCCAATAGAAGGGTGAGTGATACGTAGTGATGTCATTATCTTATGGAAGTAAACAAAGGTGTCAAATTGAGGCATTTCAGGCAGGGGGAGTGTGTGGGAGAGAAACTCCCTCTGGAGGGATCTTTGGGATTGTAATCTTTGCAGACCATTCACATGCACAAAAAACTATTTAACACACTACAGGAACATCCCCAAAAAGCATTATAGGGCCCCTTTAAAAAGCCCTACATGAGAAAACTTCAATATATTTAAATACATATATATCTTTGTATTGAGGGCAGTTTTTTTCATGTATCACCAGTTTGTCTTGCACATTTAATAAATGTGCTAAATAAGGATTTATAACCGTATGCAACCACATATTTAATCATGACATATTTTAGGACGCTCTCACTCACCAGTTGTTGTTCCAGGTGTGCGCAAAAGCTGTGATGAGGATGAGCTGGATGAGGATGAAGGCAAATCCCCCCACCACACCCACATAATGCCAAGCTGAGGGAAGAGAGGGAGAGAAAACCATAAAGGTTGATTTATCTCAGGGAAGTGAAAGAGGGAGAACTAATCAAAGAGAGAGATAAAGACAAAGAGAAGCAGCTGTGAATAATAAATCAGCTCTGATATCAGGCTTGTTTCACATTCAGGTTTATTGTTCCCAAACAAAGTGAAATGAAGCTGTAGAGATGTATGGTCCAATCATTCACAGCAGTGAGTCATATAAAGTGTTATTAGGTGTTCAGGAGTGGCTCTCTGCTGTCCTCTAGCAGCACCCAGGAGGAGGTGCACTAACACCATCATCACCATCACGTTTGTTCTCAGTATGGATTTATTTTCCCTGCAGTTTCTCACCATGCAGGAAGGACTCTGTGGGGATGAAGAAGGCGGCCATGCACATCCCGAGCAGAGTGATCAACTTCAGGAACCAGAAACTGCAGGAGACACAACAGAAATAAGGGTTATTAATATTGTCTCTGTTTATGTCACATTTTTCTTTATTTGTTTGTTATTTGTCTTCTTCTTATACACATAACTCTGTGGGTTACACAAATAATGGTAAAAGCCATAGAAAGTGTATTATTACTACATGATTATACCATTTAGACCACAAATGGGGTCTTTTTTATATGACGACTGACCAGTGTGAAATAAAAATGTACATCATAATTGTGTAACTTGCTTGAGTTGAGTAGTGCTTGTAAAAACATATAAAATATAGTTTGACTACTGTTTAAAATCCAAATAAAGTATTCAACCAATGTACTTATGAAGTTATAAACATGCGTCCTTATAGGAGGCAAAGAGGGTCCAAGATGGTACTTTTCAAATATAGATTCAATTTTAAAATATTGAAGTCTGGTTTGTCAGTAAAAAAGAAATGTTATACATCAAACAAACAAGTAATTTGGAAGACTAATCATTCAGAAAGAAATATTCTGTGTTTACAGCAGGACAACAGATTTTTGATCAATATTAAAATAATTTTGAAACAGTTAAGAGATTGTTTCATGACTATAAGAATTAGCATATATTGCATATTTGTATACCAAGAGTATTTGCTGACCTACATTCTTATTCTACATTTAGATCTATAACGTTTCAGTGATATTTGTGAATACATTTCTATGATCAAAGAGGTTTTGAGTCTGTACTGATACCCCTGCAGGTCCATGTGTCTCTGTCTGTCCCTATAGAGTTCACCCAAGGTTTCAGAGGGCCACTGGGTTACTCTGCCATAACAAGCACAAAGAGCCGTAACCTTTGCCAAAGACTCTGGTAGATTTATAGCAGTGAGGATGAACAATCCACTCTGTCAAATCCTAATCTGAGTGTTACCAGCGCTCTAATCGGCTGTAATGGAAAGTGTGACAACAAAAGGCTTTAAATAGACCAGCAGGCGGGGTCAGGAGGTGACCAGAGAAGGACAACAACAACTAGTCTTTACACACTGTCCTATTTTAAGATGTGTTTATTTCAAGAGGGGCTTGGACTATTCTGGATGGGCAACCTACTGTATTCTGATTCAGGAAAAAAAACATCCTGTAAGATATTTCAGAGAAAATTCCAGTGCCTTTGGTGGTTCATTTTCAAATTCGAAGTTTTCAAAGAAGCTAAAAGGAGCGGACATCTTCACCCCTTTATGTCTTAGTGAATGATCCCATTTTGTCAGCAGGTTTAATAAAAAACACACAAATCCACCAATACCAGCAGTCAGGACTGTTATGCTGCGTTCATGTGCAAGTACAAAAGTCATGGATTTAAATACTCTGAAAAATCAGTCTCAATTTTTGTTTTGTTTTCTCAGTAGGAACATGTTGTGAGGCGTACTGTGCGGCACTGACCCGTTGTGTATGAGCGCTCTGTAGTCCTGACTGGACTTCACGTCTATGAGGAAGATGGCCATCATCAGGTAGAAACAGGAAGTGCCGAAGCACACTCTGTAGACCGCCGAGTAACCCACCAGCATCTCACAGTGACCCCCGCCGTGCGCCTGGTCACACACCATGTTGAAGAAAGGCACCTGACACACACACACACACACACACACACACACACACACACACACACACACACACACACACACACACACACACACACAGACACAGACACACACACACACACACACACACACACACACACACACACACACACACACACACACACACACACATATGTTTTTATCTATTTTCATACTCAAAGCTGTCAGCAAAAGTTATAAATAAATCAACCGACTACCAACTTTATGGCCTTTGTGCTGATAATAAACAGGTTCAGTCAGGAAATAAGGTAGAGTGAGGGGTACGACCTCCTTGAGTCACATTATAGTAACTCTGTTTTGTTTGGTTCTCATGTCTTGTGGCCTGTTGACCTGCAGCAAATCAGTGTATAATCATCATATTTGGCCCCTGCCAATTCTAATTGAATAATTACTTTACTGTATGTTATTTTCTGTCAGAAATGTTGTACAGAATAGTTATAGAGTTCTGTTAATGAGATTATTGATTGTTTTGGTTATAGTTCAGTACATTGATTTGATTTGCTTTATAGAGGATGAGATGTAGGGCTCACATTTTCCCTGACGAGCTCAGAGACGGTGCGGGACAGCATGAGGCAGGAGACGGCGCAGCTCATGATGTGGAACAGGGTGTACATGATCCGCGTGGTGGTGGACGATTGCACCGGAGGACAGAAGGCACAGCAGAGCGAGCAGGGAGCCGGTCCACAGCAACAGCAAATCTGAAGAGGAGGAGAGGAGAGAGGCAGATCAGCATCTCACACAAACACAACAACCAGTCTGACAACCAGGAAACACCAGAGGTCGTTGTTAGGCTATAGCCTTTGCACTCAGGTGTACATGAAAGAAATTGATCATTGTGACAATTTTCCAACTGACAGTTTCTCCTGCAACTTGCACAGAATGAACAGCGTGAACATGTAATACTTTTTTGTGGCATTTTAAAAAAAAAAGCATACATTTAAATCTTTGCTTTTGGGGGAAGGTATCAAGTGTTTTTAAGTCAGGTCCAAAGCCCAATTCCAAGTGGAAGTCATCGGTGTTCACAGGCAGCTCAAGTTGCAAGTCTTTAAAAAAAAAAGAGTTGAGTCTAAAAGTCATCAAATGTGTGACTTGAGTCGAGGCGTGTACTTGAGTTGAGTACAGGCCTCTGAAAAACACACCTTCAAACGTAAGAGGGTGACAATAAGTAAAATAAATGTACTATATATTTTTTTAAGCAAAAAGACAACTGCGTTATCCATCCCATGTGATGTATGGGGTTGGATGTAGTGTTAGAGCATACATGTCAAACTCAAGGCCCGCGGGCCAAATCCGGCCCGTGGTGGATTTAATTTCGGCCCGCAGGATAATTTCTAAATACTATTAGATATGGCCCACCGGTATATGGCACGCACACCTTCACTCAATCCTGAGGATTTCCTCAGCTCAGAGCCTGAGCCCAAACATTGATGAACTTGCATCCTAGATGAGATGCCAAGTATCTGGCTTGAACTAGCATCACAGAGCAGCACACTGAGCACTTTTTTTCTTGCAACAATAGGGCATGTTTGATTTTTTCTTTGAGGGAAATTGTTTTTTTAAGCTGTTGTTGGCCTCTGGAAAAATATAATCATAAGAAAGGACTCTGGAAAAATAGAGCCATAAGAAATTAATGCAACGGATTTTTGATTGATTTAATGTTTAATGTTGTTTTTATGGGCGGGAGTGGTTCAGTCTGTAGGGGATTGGACTTTGGACCGAAGGGTTGCCGGTTCCCGTCCCCGATCGGACCAAAAAATACGGAGTGTGGACTGGTACTGGAGAGGGCCCAGTTCACCTCCTGGGCCACTGCCGAAGTGCCCTTGAGCAAGGCACCTAACCCCCAACTGCTCACTGGCGCCGGCTAGACTGGCTGCCGCCGCTCTTACCTCTCAACTGCATGTGCATGTGTGTGTATTTGTATATGTATGTGCATGTGCATGTTCTAAAAAGTGTATACTGTGTGTACTGCATGACCTGTATAAAAATGCATGTGTGTGTACGACAGAGTGGAAACTGAATTTCCCCCTCGGGGGATTAATAAAGGTCCATCTTCTTCTTCTTCTTCTTATAGACAATCATTTAAGCTTTGTTAGTTCAAGGTTTAATATGTGCAATAAGTTCATTTCAATAAGTTTTGCAATAAACATTGAACCAGTCCGGCCCTCGACTAGTACCGATTTTAAAATGTTGGCCCACTGTGTATTTGAGTTTGACACCCCTGTGTTAGAGGATCTTTCAACTCTTCATTGTACATTCTTACATTAAAATGGTGACAAATGAAGAATCAACATAAAATCAACATCAAGCGAGATATTTCACGAGATATTCCCTCAGCCAGCCCCCCCTGAAATATTTCGACATAACTCACATTACAATTTGTTGCATCACATACAATATGACACCCAAATCAGTGAAAGACACAAGCAGTGTTAAATTCAACACGTACTAAAGGTATGATGCTGTGTATCATTCTGATAAAGGACATCCTGTAGGTTTCAGACTACCCTTCACAGCACTCAAACAGCAAATGAACAGTACTATTTGATTTCCTTTGTGGACGCATGCATGGCTCCAGGAATTTAAACTCATGTTGTCTAAAGATTGTGGAGGTCACTATCTTAGACAGCTTTCACTGACAGTGTTTGGATTTCTAGATTAACTAATGAGTCCAACGGCATCATGCCGGTTCTGATTCTGATTAACCTGGGCTGGGAACAGTGGTGGAAACACTGAAAAAGCTGAAACGTTGATTTTAATTACATGTATTATGTCAACAGATTTCACATAACTGTAGTAGGTCAGTTGAAAGCAATAATATTAAGTTTAAATAAACAATATGGGTTCAACCTAATACATTTAATTAAAGTCAACGTTTCAATTTGCTCAGAGTAGTAACAAAGTACATTTACACAAGTACGCTAGTTAAAGGGGACCTATCATGCAAAATGCACTTTTGTACATCTTTTATACATGAATATGTGTCCCCGGTGTTCCAGGGAACTCCCCAAGTGTGAGAAAACACAACCCTCTCTATTTTCCTCCATACCCAAATCTCTAAAAAAGGGGCTGCAACGGATCTGATAAAAACTGATCCAGATTTGAACACTGTCCTGACGTCAGGACAGTGGCGCTACGGCTATTGGGCCAACTCCACCAATCAGGAGGAGACAGCCACGGCCATTGCCGTTCGAAAGCGCTGGAGACGCTGTAGTACATATGCCAGGCCAGTAGATGGTGCTGTTCTCACTGAATCTGCCCTTGCAGAGCAGAGCTATAAATTGTCAAATTGAGCAAAATGAGGCATGGCTAAAATGCATGATCTGTTTGGTATTTTGAAAAAAAAAAAGTATAAATATGCCTTATATAGGTATGGTCCTACACTATATTATTCAAACATAGCATGATAGGTCCACTTTAAGTACAATTTTGAGGTACTGAGTATTCTCAGTTTATGCTACATTAAGACTTTAATAAACTACAATTTATTTGACAGCTTTTAGTTGCTAGTTACTTTTTAGATTTAGATTATTAGCTAATACAAAATATAAAGCAATTATTAAATTAAAAAAACTATTTTTATTAAGTATTTTTGAAATTAAGTATTTCTACTTTTACTTAAGTAAAAACTCTGAGTACTTCTTCCACCGCTGGCTGGGAACGACTGGATAAGCCCATCACTGCTGATCCTGAACTAAATCTAAGCAGCCAAAAACCTGCATGCACTGTCTGAAGCTGCAGCAACTCTGCAGATTACAGGCTGAATCAGCAGATAGAAAAACTGTTTCAGCGATGTGAATGCGGTATTGCACATGAAGTAAAAGTCATTCTAGGACAAATATGTCTCTACGCGCAGCACATAATCTGACGAATGATGCAGAGAAGATTATACAACATATTTATGTGGAAGAGCATACTGAATAAAAATAGAGCTTTATTCATGTACAGTACCTCAAACATGAAACATGATAAAAGGGACAATTTGTAAAAATAGTTCTCATGAGAACATGAGATTTAGTCAGATATGATACGTGGACCAATTGGTGCTTCATTTGTATGTTTCCAACCTGAAACAAAATCACTGATTATTCAACCTCTCAATTTATTCCATAATCCTAAATTAATATTTGATGTGTTTGTCTCTCATACATAGGCCCTGTGGCTGAATACACACTCAGAGATATGGGTATTTTATTGAATAATATTTGATGTTCTACAGACTGAACAAAACAGTCTCTTTGCTGAATATTGGCGCTGTGCAATTTGAAATTGTAATTACATAGTGAAATATAAAACTCTGGTGCTTTGAGGACTTCCAAGCTGCACTGAGTCATCTTAAAAAACAGGTGTTTTTATTATGTCTCTAACCACTGCATATGTCCAACCTACTTTAAGGTTTATAATGCAGGATTAATACTATTAATATTAGTGAAGTTGTTGCAGTAATTGCGAGGGCTTAGATCTGCAGATTAACACTCGGTATAATACAGCGGGTCATTCAGTATATATAGGTCAAAGAGAAGCAGACTGACATAAGAGCCACATGCAGAATGGTATTTCCCAGACCCTGCTGGTTGTTTGTATGATTACAAGATCTTAAAAGATCTTGAAGTGTTTAAGAAGTTAATCTGAGAGTTTAGCCTGCATGAATCACCAATTAATGCCCCAGTGATCCAATTTACCTTCCATGATATAAAGCTGTGTAATAAAGAGGACGGACTGTGTGAACGTAGCAGAGGTCATTTTTTAATAAGTATAAATGGTCCCATTCATTATTGTTGGTGACATTCTACATGTAGTTTTCAACAGTTACTTTAGTTGTTCCACCGTCCGCCATTTTTTCTACTTACTGCAAAGAACTCACTTTGATAATCTTTGGTAACTGGGGAAAACCAACTCTTCCTGTATTGGTTGAGCAATGGTTGACGCACTTACTTCGTGCCATGAATGGAGGTTTAATTCCCCAGGATCTTGTACCCAGGGACTGACTGTATTGCGATGTGCAAGCTAATGTAAACACGGATTGTCCTTATTGTGCAGACATTACATTGTGCAATCAACATTTACTTCATGTCAATGAGTTAAAACAAAAAATAAGGGGTGTTATGTCAGGAACTCATTGACACATTAACTTCCTTAAGCTCTTAAAGAATATGTTGTTCTTTTAATTCATTTAACCTATGTTTATTATTTAGATTTAAATGTTTTCTTTCCTTAAGCTGCATTCACATCATAGGTAGTAAAACGACAACCAATCAGATGACAGCTGTATGTATTGGCGCAATCCAGCAGAGGAGAATTTAACCGATTGTTTTCCCTGTGAGGCTCTGCGCCCAACCTGCGGTGAGCAAAGAGAAACTTGCCAATTCATGTGAATGGAGCTTCAACTTGACTACATATAAGGTTATTCAAAAACTTTAATAGACTTTATATTGTCGCTAATATTTGTATTTTTTTCATGTAAAACTTGCTAACTAAGTAACCTAAATGTAATCTATTCTGTAAAGAATGTATTAACTCATGTTAGCAGCTCTGTAACACTGTTGGCACACAAGTGCGTAAACTCAATGCTAACATGCTAACATGCTAACACACAATGACAATGTAAGCAGCAATTATGATGTTTACTATGTTCATCATCTTAGTTTACCGTGTTAGCATGCTAACATTTAAAATGTAGCACTAAGGACAAATTACAGCTGCTGTGAATGAATGAAGTTATTGGTGATAAACCAACGTATTGGATCGATTTTCAGCAGATTTCTTTTCTTGATTGATGCTGAGCGGAACAGTATGCCTGCATAAAAAGTCATGGCAATTCATACGAATAAATATTTCAGTGGGGCCAGACTGACTCTTCCATCCATAGAGCCACAACATTAGCATTGTAATTTCTTCTTCTGTACACAGATATTTGAAGGGTGAAAACCTTTTTAAATGCATTAATGAGCCTCACTTTTGCACTGCCACAAAACTCACTAGCACCAAATGTAGATTCATCCGCTGACAAGTGCACTATCTCTTTCTTCTTACGTTTTTCACTTCTAAGTACCTTAGTTCTTTGCTTCACTAAACTTTAAAAAGACTACATGTTATTGTAACCCAATATTTATGGAGTCTGTATGAACCTATGGGCTTACAGCTAAGTGCCACAGACATTGTAGGAAAGCTAGAAAATGTAGACTAACTTTTTCAAAACTGTTTTGTTTTTCCCGCAAGTGTTTCCATCAGTTGAACACAAGTCAACGTTTGTCAGTGATAACACAGTGGTGCTGGTGGAACCACTTTTACCTTTAAAAATATTTTTTCAATCAAAAATAGGTTACATTGTTATAGATTTTACTTCAAAACACAGTACAACATTAAAATGCTGTAATTGAATACATGAGTGATTATAATCCAACAATATAGGTAGTTACATTTTGTGATAATAATTCTAAACTTTTATTTTGAAAGCATGACATGAACCTGTAAAGGAGTATATTCATATTGCAAATTTTACTTAAATAAATATCTCAATACTTTGTCCAACACTGAATGATATCTTCATTTAAAAATATCTCACAATATTTCTATTGAACAATAAATAACAAATCCCTTATCCAGTATTCCAGTTAATGACATAAAGTCAAGAGGTAATCAATTATCATCTACTATGAAAATACGCTATTATCTTAAATAATAAACTGACTGTTTACAGAAACTTCTATCATCCTGCGCGGCTGCTCATCAGCTCTCACCTGATAGGCCACCATGTTGAGGAAGTAGTTGTAGACGCCGCTGCGATTCATCCCCTGAGACGCCGACATTGTGCCACTAAACTGCTTTTCATCGGCCACTCTACATTTGGCCATCAACTTCCAGCACCAACAGGTTTTTTTTTTCTCAAGAGTGACTACAAAGATGGCATCCTCAAAGAGGCCGGATCACAACTTCTCACAGGCCTGACGATGGAAGTAAAAAGTAAAAAGAGCCCAGCAGGTTGCCTCACATGCTCTTTATTCTGGATTAGCAGTAAATCTATTCCGGCCGGGCTCCCTGCGGCCGAAAGCCTCAGCATGAGCACCAAGTCCGGCTGCTCTCAGTCCAGCCTCACAGGGGAAGAAGTTGTTTTTTTGCCCATATCCTGCGTGCTTTGGCTCTGCGGCTGTGCTGGGTGCTGCCAGGAAAGAGGGAGAGGTGGTGGCGAATGCCCGCTGCCCTCCCCCATCCTACCCGGTCAGATTAGGCAAAGAGTGTGTGAGGAGGAGGAGGAGGAGGAGGTGGACAGGGACCATGTGTCAACCCATCTGTCCCTCCCTTCCCTTCCCCCAGCGCCATACAAACCCCACTGTACACCGGGATTGGGCGATACTCTTGTTTAATCCAGATTTACAATATTAAACAATTAACCCTGTGTGATTTCTAGATCTGACACCTCAAAGCCCCCTACCTAAAGACTCCCACCCAACACACACACTCAGTGAGGTGGGTCAGACTGGAGGTCTGTGATGGAATCCACTAAAGCAGGGTGCGTTAGTGGATGTTCTCACAGCTTGATGGTAGGGTCCATTAAGGCAGACAATAAAGATTAAGTTCGACCAACTATTTTAGTTTCAAATGATTTGCTCTTTTAATGCACTGCTATCATTCAAAGTGTGTTTCATTTAGATTTAGAGGTTCACTGTTTTGTAATTAACGGAAACAATAAACATGAAATGCAGTATTGGAGAATGTCTTTGACATTTGTCTGAAAACACTGAATGACTTCCTTATTCTTCTGAAAAAATATATAATAATTGGTGATGTAAAAGCAGTTTTGAGACTGTTTATTGTTATTCATAAAACTGAAGTTGTGGTCTGAATGGCACAGCAGCAGGGAAATGACATGATGTGTTGGTAGCTGTTGAAAAGCTCTGAGTGCTCGGGGAGAGAGTCAGATTAGATTTGGGTTAGTGTGTGCAGGGCGGAGCGTCGGGATAATCCCGTCATTGTCCATGGATGACCTTCAGCGGCACAGACGTCCGTCAGTATCCCTCTCTAACACGTCACTGACCAAGAGACTGATTGACCAATCAAACTGCATCTCAACTCTTACACACTTGCTCCTACCTGACCTGTAGTAGATGCTGTTTGTGCCAGATGAAACACAGGTGAACAGATCTACAAACAATGGTAACAATAGCTGTTCATTCTTTGAATATTAGATCACTAAACTGACCTCTCAAAATATAGTTGTTGTCATGAACAGTCGAGGTAATACACATTTAGAAAGATATCAACAGTAGAACTATACCCAAAGTAAAAGTTCTGCAAGATTTACAAAATATAAGCATGGAAATGTATTTAAAGTACCAAAAGTAACAATAATCGTTGATATAGCAGTATTATGTATCTGATATTACTGTATTAAGAATATTGATGCAGTCATGTGTTCATCGCTTTAATGTTGCAGCTCATGATTACTACTTTAAATTGGGACTTACATCTCGGGGATCATTCAAGTTTTATTCTAACATATTATTAGTAAAACTAAATTCATTTGGTGTTTATATTTTGTGTTATTAATATGAATCTGCAAAGTAATGAAAAGATGAAGTGGAAATGGAACGTGAAAATTGTAAAGTATATGATTATATGTGTTTTTCCAAAAGTGGATACAAGTTTACGAGCATTTATCTATATTATTTTATTGATATTTAGATAATATTATGAAAAAAATGTGTATCAAAGGGAACATTTGTTGAGATCAGTAAAATCCCCTAATGAATACTGATCGCTAAAAATAATGTGGATTGAGTTGTTTACATGAATGTCGGAAGAAGCAGCCTGTGCCAAAAACCTGCTAAGTGTCTAAAAGAGAGACACAGTCACTTTCTAGGAACACAGTGTAACAAACGTGAGGTTGAATAAGAGGAAAAGTCTGTTCAGGATCAGACTCTAAGTAGCTTGGCCTTACAAACCCAGTGAGCGATGGACTACAGTGGTAGTAGTAGCTTGAAGGCCACAACTCATAACACCTCTAGCTAGCGCTCAAAGCATCACTTTGAAAAGCTTTTACCTCTAAGCTTGCATTTAATGAGAATCTGTCATCTATTTTGATAAGTCTGGAGCAACTGTCACATATCTTCAAAACTACATTTCAACACTTGAAAAAGATGCTTAGTGATATCAGTCGTAGGCTACTTTGCCCCTTAGATGCACAAGTGGTTCTTTTTTGACCCGGTGAGGTGGTTTTCTTGAAGTATCTTTGTAATTACATTTTTTTATCATTTCCTATTCCAGCTATTCCTCAAAAAACATGTTTCGGATATCATGCCATTCAAATTTTTAATATAAATTGTATACATTTTAAGAAATTGTAGTTTTTGTATTACTACCCCAAGCTTCCATAAGTGGGTCAAAAATGACCTGCATGCATTTTCTATGGAATCCTATGGGAACCTTTGATTCTTATCACCTGTTGCTGTCAGGAATACATTCACTGTGGACCACACAGACTACATCACAAGTGACACCTCTCAGGGAGATTATTTTACACAGCAAGATCTGATACCTGTCAGTATAATAATAATAATAATAATAATAATAATAATAAAAATACATTATATTTGTATAGGGCTTTTCAAGCACTCAAAATCGCTTTACAATATAAGGGAAGGTTAGGGTGGGGGGTATAGGACTATCAAACTTAATCAACCAGCATGGATTGATGGGGGGTGGGCTATGAGTAGACAAGAGGAGAAGAGATGAGTTTTGAAAAGGGACTGGAATACTGTGAGGGTCTCAGATCTTTGAGTTCAAAACGGTTTTTTTCTAAATGTAAAAAAAAAATAGTGAAAAATTAAATATAAAATATCTCTAGTGTGAACCAAAATATAATACTAAATATTATACAAGTGATTTTTCTTAACCAAAATGACAAAAATGGCATAAAAACACATATGATTCTAATACGGGTCCTTTTTGACCCACTTGTGGAAGAGTGTAGGGTCCAGTCACTCGGGCATCTAAGGGTTAAGGCCTTTAAAGCCAGAACCCATCTACTCATCCTAGCTTTCAGGGAAAACACTGAATATCTCTAGCCCTGAGTTTGTTAGTGTTCCTCTGAGCTCACCTCTACTCCTCCCTCTGTCCCTTCTAAAAACGAATGTGCTTCTGTTTGCCATCTTGTTCTCTTTGCAGGCCTTCATATGGAAGCGGATATGTGTAGGTCATTACTTTTATAATGATGGTTTATTTTGTACACAAAACATACTGTATATTTCATATCTGTCCGTCCAGGGAGAGGGATCCCTTTCAGTGATTCTTCCATAAGTTTCTTCCATTTATTCAAATGTTAAAGTTTATTTTGGTTCCTTTTTTCTTAACCAAATTCAGGGTCTATGAGGACAGAAGATGTTGTAAAGATTGTTAGGCTAATATATGATGTGTGATATTGGACTAAATAAGAACATTGGCTTTAAAAAGTAAAATAAGAGCAAAACAAAACATGTTCCTGATTAGGAATTCAGATATCATATCTTCCTCCAGAACAGATATTGATAACCCCACCAGAAATGAACATTATGTGACAAATCTTAGAACCAAAAACATCCACAAGTTTAAAAATAAATACTATCCTTGATGTCACTTTGGACTACTCCCTCCAACACGAGCGGGTGTAAAGCAGTGATTCCCTGTGATAAACACGTGTTGCTCCGAGAGGCATTCCTGGGGGCCCCTTTCACTCTCAGATAATTGCTGCTGCCTAGTGGGAGAGGAGGTCGTGCCAAAGAGGACAAACACAAGCAAATAAGCGGATGCAAATATCCGCTTGAGTGAAAGTGCTCAATCTATGGTTTCAATAGGCTTGCGCAATAACTGCTGGCTGAAATCCAAGCTTGTTTACAAAAAATGACTCATTCATTATTCATTTCTTTCCGAGCATAACAATGGGGTAACGGTTTGTGGCCAGCATTGTCTTTTGAACCTGTTTTAGATGTAGGTGAGTACAAATCTGGGTGTTGTAAATGAAGTAGCTGCAAAAAGAGTTGTCCATCCCATAGTAACACAATGCACCCATTCATAATGTGGCATGAATGGATGCACAAGGAATTAGACTGAGGAGAAATGATTAGAAGAGTCAGTATCTGTACCACATTCTTTAACTCACATGTAAATGGCTCGACTTTGGTGAAAAGTAAAAAGAAGCTCATGTTTGATTTTCTTTTTCTTTTTTGTGGTGGTTATCATGGATTTATATTACATGGCCAAAACTATACAACCACTCCTTCACAGTTTGTGTTTTAGGCTGTTGAGGTGAAACACCTTAGATCAAAATGTACAGACATCTAAATGCTACAGCGTATACTATACATGATACTACTTTACAGCTTATGATGACCAACATGATATCACATGAGTGAGTATGACCCGTGAATTGTGACTAATTATGATCTTTTAAATAGACCTCAAAGGACAAAGGATGAAAAGCATTCCAAAAAGTGGTGGAGGGCCTTCGAGGAAATGAGGAAGCTGTTATCGGGGACATTGATGCAGCAAGGACATGTTCAACATTCCCATGTGTGGAATATTTGGGTGTTTACATAGTTTATTTTCTTATTTGAATAATAACAAGGGATTTTTTTCCTTTTAATTCAGGTATTTTGTCTTCCTATTACCATTGAATACATGCATCCTTAAATAAATGCATCCTTGTTGTTAGTTTTCTGGTTACATTTTGATGACAATTCTTTTAAATCAGAATACCTTGTCAATAAAGGTGTTCCTCTCTGATATAGATCAAGTAGCTAAAGACGTATTTGAATGAGTAGTATATAAAAAGGAACGAATACTTTATAACACTTTAATATATTTGTAAACACTGTGTATTTTTCAATGCATTAGTCCATTATGCCAGCTTTGACCACCCATTAGAGGTTGGCTGGTGTATAATTATAGGAACAACACAATAAATACATTAAAATGTAGCTTCAATCATATAAAGAATATCTCCATAGAATTGCTGCTTACAACTACATTATAGTGTGAAAACTGCACTACATGTTAAACATATATATACATATTGGGGTTAAAGGCAATACTCCTTTTCTTTTTCAAAATAAAAGCCCACTTGAGATAAACCATTTCACTGCACACATTTGTTGTGTGATTGTCCTTGTTAACGGTTCCTTATGTTGTCTTAACAGAGAAACACCTGTCATTTTAGGACCATGCTGCAGAGTCTCACCTGAGAGCGCAGCCAGTGTCTCGACATCACGTCCCCCAGGCCTGAGCAATAATCAATATCGGAAAACAGTCAGACAGCCATCAGTCATACAGCAGGATGAAGGAGTTGGCATGGCAACAGCGATGTCTCTCCCACCCCGGTGCCATTCCTTTGACTCTTGTTCTATCACTTCGTGCATCTCCTTAAACTAATGCAGTGTTTTGGTGCTTCTCATGAGCAGGTTTGCCTTTCCTTTAATCTGATAATTGGTAGGTGGACTGAGAAAAGCTCAAAGAGCTGAAGAAGTCTCCAGAGACGGAAAACCTGTTGCAGTGGTTGAAGGGCTATTTGTATTAAAGCACATGTAAACCTCTTATAACAGACAGGAATAGAACCACCGTGAGCACAGGGGTGATTTGGTAATCCAGATATTTTAAATGTATGCATTATCCAGTTATCTTCTTCTTATCTCTCAGATAATAACAAGAGAGTAGACCGATCAGATATTATAATATACGGTCTTAATCCTGCTAATCAAAATGTTATTAAAAAATAAATGAAGGTATTCACTTAAAGGAAAACACCCACAAAGTAATTCACCTGAATGAACAACATGTTTTTTCATGTGGAGCAAAGATTATTATGAAGTTCTTTAAACGCTTCTCCTGAAAAGAATACTATTGTTCGTAGATATATAAACGATTTGGATGTACCTTTGAATATTCAGTACATTCACCTGCAAACACCTTTGCTGTATTGTATTTTTAAGCAAATCATGTTAAGTGTTTATTTCAGTATGGCATAAAAATCAATGCAGAACTTTGCAGGATATGGAAATGTATATGTTTTTTTACATTGTTTAAAGATACACTGGATCACCAAAGCAGAACAGTGACCCAGAACCCCATAGTTCACTGTGATGGCTTTATGAATATTGATTACATGTCAATTTGTGAAGGGGCATTTGCCACTACAGCTAAGGCAGGTCCTGCGTTATGACCTCATCATGCGGTTATCTTGTGTAATAACTGTCTAGCCCAGGTGCCCTTCAAATCACCTCTTAATCTGCTGGAATTTCTGCAACAGCAGCAGGACAAATAATGAAAAGAAAATGATACAGGTTAGCTGTGAATGTTTCCGAACAATGCACAAGAACACTTTCAATTTAAGGATCATGTGATTGTGAGTTAGGGATGGCATTAATGTACCTTGAAAAAGTTAATAAAAGGTTGCATATACCTTAATTGATCACTAATGTAATAGCCAACCCAGCGAGCATGCTAAGTGACACAAATCAAACACACCCACCTCGATGCTCCTTGACCAACAGGTGCAGGTAATGTGCTAAATGCTGAAATGCTCCTGGATTCTATTTGTTTCTATGCTAAAAGAGCCTCTCCCATCAGTGTGTGTGTGTGATGACTTCCTGCTTTTAATGGACTGTTTTTATTATGCTTTGAGAATGATCAAGCAAAGAAGTTGAACCTGGAGCTGATTAAGGAGGAATATGTGCACGACTCACAGACTGAAGTTTGGAGTGGTGAGTTATACAACACACTTATGAATGTGTCTCACTGTACATACAGGAACCTCAACAAGTGCTGTAGTATGTGCGTTTGTTGCTGCAGCTGTGGAGACCCCCATCACCCCAGCCACAAACTGTTCTTTCTGTTGCCGTCTGGCAGACGTTACCGCAGCATCCTGGCAAGGACAAGAAGATTCGGAGACAGTTTCTTTCCGCGGGCAGTGAGACTGTTAAAAAAATTGAACTGTTGAAACAACTTCAAACATTCAACTGCTACTCAGTAGTATGTATCTAATACCTAATATATATATATCATTCCAATAACTTGTATATAGACTCATACTGCACTATTCCACATCATAACTTTATTTCATTTTTATAACTATTATTATTTTTGTATTGCTCTTGCTCTTATTGTTATTATGTTATGTTATTATGTTGCATTGTTGGAGAAGCCTGTGACATAAGATTTTCAACTGCATAATTACTCTGTAGCTATGTCAGATTGACAATAAAGAACCTTGAACCTTGAACCTTGAGAGTAAAATGATATAAATCATGGGAAAGGGATTCCCTATATTTTGTATTTGTCTTTTCTTTTTGTATTATTGTCTATATTATTTGTATCTGTGTATATAAGTCCCTCTGTGAGGGCAAACAAAAAAACAATAACAAGTTGGTCACAAAAAAAAAAAAAAAATGTATGTTTGACAAAAAACATAGGTTATGAGTAAGTATGGGTAAGTATTAATCATATAAAGTTGGTGTATCAATTATACAATTATATATATTATAATATATCTTAAATTGAGATCCCACACTCATACTTGATAAAAGATATATCCAAATATTTGTTTTAAATCTCGTCCTTTACATGATCTTTCCGGTACTACCCCGTTTTGCGTCCGACGCTCGAAGGAACCTTCCTCTTGGTTCCGGCCTGACATTAGCAAACATGGCAGCAGAGGGAGACGTCGATTTGGACCTGGAAGTCGAGGATAACTGCACGGGGAAACCAGCAGAAAAGCCTCGCAAACATGACAGCGGAGCCGCTGACCTGGAGAGAGTCACGGACTACGCGGAGGAGAAGGAGATCTCCAGCTCCGATTTAGAAACGGTGAGAGCTCCGGGCTAACGCTAGCCGGGAAACATGCGGCCGCTGCCGGCTGCACTGTCGCTACATCCTCCCCAGCACATGTAATACAGCTGTTTAGTGATATTATACCAAGGATTTGTGTCAAAGATATGTCCTTGGTGTTTTATACGTGGTTTGCTCGAGTCGAAACAATACAATTCTGGTGCAGAAGTGTAGTGAACTGCCTCCGAGCTAGCTAGCTAAAGCTAACGTTACTTTCCTCTTTGCCAGCCTACTTGTTAAAGGGACAGTAGTGGAATATAACAAGAACATTTAAGCACTGATGGTATAACACATTGAAGGTACTTGTACTTAACTTGAATATGTCCTCTTTATGCAATTGTATAACCCTACATATCAGGGGTAAATATAATATTGTACTTTTACTCCACTGCATTTGTGTGACAGCTTTAGTTACTTTTCAGATTAGTTATTTTCTTTATCCCATTATTGGCAATCCTTTAATAATTACTTAATGTTTTTTAAATTAAGCCAAAGTACTTGCATTTCTCAGCCCAGGTGTTTATCTTATTTTGTTACATTATTCAGAAAGTAAAAAAATCAGAGGTATCTTGTATGTATAACAGTGACATCATATCTAGCAATAAACACGTTTTAATTCTTTTTTAATGAAATGGTAATGGCCCAATATTTTTATTTTACTTGTAGTAAAATGTGCTAAATGTATCACTTTTATTTACTGGTGAAATATGTTTGTGTTGAATGTTGTATGTGTTTCTGTTTGTGGTAAAGTTGACTCTGATATTTTAAACAATGTTAAAACATACATTCATGAATAACAAATGTTTTTCTTTCAGGCCATGTCGGTGATTGGAGACAGAAGGTCACGAGAACAGAAAGCCAAACAAGAGAGGTAAGATTATTGTTGTATTTTTTTTTAACAAGATCAATGTTAACCCCGCAGTCTGTCCAGCTGTGACGGCATCAGATTCATATTTCTTCATTTTGAGCAGTTCCGCTCTAGTATTCATCTCAAATCTGCAGCTCACTATGTGTTGTTTCTTTTTCAGAGAAAAAGAGTTGGCCAAAGTGACCATCAAGAGAGAGGATGTGGAACTAATTGTAAGATTTTCTCTCAATATATATATATTTTGTTTCATTAATCTGTTCAGATCACTTTGAAGCCACATGTCTGTGTTTGGTCCACTTAACTAAACATGTTCATTAACCGTGAGCATTAATCTGCTGCTTTAACAGCCTTTACTCTCTAGGAAAGGTTTAATACAAGATTGTATATATTGCAGCTGCATACATTGCTCTTTCATGATACACAAGGGTGTGAAAATGTACTTTTGCATCTCAATTGGTTGCCAGTGTGTAGGTGTCATTTATTTGAATTCCAGACGTGAGTTGTGCTCCATTAAAAGCATTTTTATGATCAACTACAAAAACCTCCTGCTCACCACAACCTGGCCCCCACCTGTCTGACCTCCTTCAGGAGTATACCCCCTCTTCTGGTCTGCTAACCATCCTGACCCCTCGTCACCATGGGGGCTCTGGCTTTTAGCTGCACAGGTCCCACACTCTGGAACTGCCCCCACACATCTGACAATCACCACATTCAAATCCCACCTATTCTAATGAGCCTTTTCACTGTAGTGCTCACCATCATCTGTTTCCCCTGAATAACCTGTCCCTATCGTTTGTGTCAACTTAGATGTTCTCCTCTATGATTGCCTGTTTGTTATGTGACTTTAAACGTATTTGAATATTTACCAAATTGTACAGTTTCCTTGGGTAAAATGTATTATTAACAATGTCTGATGAAGCACTCACATATACATTTGGTTTATGTTGCAGATGTCCGAGATGGAGATTTCTCGGTCCGTGGCAGAGCGCGGTCTGAGGGAACACATGGGGAACGTGGTGGAGGCGCTGGTGACTCTGACCAACTGAACAGCTTTCACACACTGGACTGCTTCACTTTGGTTGCTTTTTCTTCTTTCACCAGAGCTCATCTTGACCACGAGACTGGATTGAGCTCAGTGGTTAAACGGTTGTGGTGGAAAAACTTTACACAATTATTTTTTTTTGTTTTTTAAAATAAAAGTTAACCTGAGTACTTGTGTGACCGTAGTTAATACTTATTGTGATTAATGTGGGAAATTATTAAAAATGAAAAAAACTAGTTTTATTTAAACACAAGCAAACCAAGTTACAATGCCTGTACTTTGAAACAAAAAGGTAACGCAGGAAGTCGGTACAAGGATATGCATACTGTCGTCACTAGCTGATTTTTTACAAAAACTCACTGTTGTAAAAGGACAATAGAGAATTTACCAATATCTTCGTCAATCGTGTATTCCATTTTACAGAGAAGATTCTGTATAATTGCAAATAGAAAACCTGCTTCATCTTAATCCTGTTTTTTGGAAACAATTTGAAATCATGGCGTTATTTCCTGGGTGAAGAACTCTTCATCAATATGATCATAGCAGTGGAATCAGTCTATTTGCTGCTTTCCTTCCACAGCAAAAATCCAGGAAATAAACTCCGCAGGCTGTGCCTCTGAACAGTCTCTGAAGCTGAAGTCTTCGTCACATCTTAGGTCTTCCTCTTCTTCACTGTGGGCCGATCAAACACGTCCCTCACGCCGGCCGCCTTCTGCTTGAAGAACTTGCTGTTCTGAGCGCTCTCCTGGGCCCAGGCCGAGTCGAAGGACGTCGTGTCCTGGTCCACCAGGTGGGTGTACTTGGTGCGTCCAGAGCGACCAAAGTTCTTGACCTTAGAGAAAGAAACCAGAACGGATCGAGTTAGAATAAAGAAACTCACCTAAATCTTTCCTAAACAACATTGACAAGAATAGGAGCATCCATTTACAGAGGCACACTTTTTTTTTGTGTGAAACAAGCAGGTACAAATAATTATATATTTGTGCATTTTGTTTAAAATGTTTCTTCCTCAAGAATTAAGACTAGTTCAAATTAATGGGGAAAAATCAAGAGTTTACATGGTATATGGCAGGTAAAATTAGGATTAAGACTGTTGCGATTGACTAACAAAATAAATATTTTAAAAAGGCAGGAAGTAGCCAAATTCCCTACGTTCATCATTTCTTATTGATGTAAGATTAGTTATACTGTGGAGCAGCAACAACATTGAAACTGTCAAGTTGGAATCTTGCGAATTCCATGTTTTTGCACCATCATACACAAACTAAATGATTGGCATTATTTTGTGTTACAACAACATTGTGCAGTGTAGCAGGGGAAATACGAGTGAAAGCAGCTGACCTGCATGACTTTGGGGAGGATGGTTTTGTTGAAGTGATCCTCCAGAGTAGGCGCGCTGAAATCTCTCTTGTACACGTGCTCCTCCTCATCCTATAACAGAAGTCATGTTAACAGTTCCACAACGCACAGCAACAAGCACAGCTCAATATTCACAAATCAAACTATACGATTGTAAACTAAAATAACTTCAACGATATGTACTGGACAGGAAATGTTATAGTCGTCACATATTTATAATGGATACATTTCTAACTTATCTAAAGCATTTCTGTACTGTCATTTGCAGTATGGGTCATCATGCCATTGTATCAGTCAGGCTCCAATTGTCCCTTAAAAAAAGCTTTTTCTAAAACTAATTGGAGGTCAAATTGGTCCAATAATCTAAATGTTAAACCATATAGGTTCATCTGTAAAAATGATAATAGAACTATTCAACAACTTATTAACAAAAGTAATTAAATCACTAGAATCTGAAAACTTTTCAAGGTTATTCCGTACCAATATAGTTGCTAGAATATAAAAGTTTGTAGCACCTTCTTTAAATGAAATGGAAAGGCAATAAAGGAAAAAAGAAAAAAAAATCATAAATGGATAAATAGCAGTCAATGTACCATGCTATTTGCCAAAAAACTAGAGAAATGTAATGTTCGGACATCAGAAAGTCACCCCTATCATTCTCTTTAATGTCTCCACTGGGCTTGAAAAGTGAAGAGTATTGTAAAGTACATCCACTACTGAAATGGTTCTGCTCTGTGTGACTCACCATGAAGAAGGCTCCTCTGTGGTAGTACTTCTGCAGGAACTTGTATTTTCCTTTGCTGGCTTTGTTGGTGACTTGCTTGCCGCTGTTGCGCAGCTCGGCCCGCCGCTCCTCCTCCGTCAGGTTGTGGAATCTCTCGATTTCTGCCTTCTCCTTCTCCATGCTGAGGACAGAACACCGCTCATTAGGAAAGTCCTAAATACACCATGTGATCATAAAGTAGTCATAGCGTTGTTTACTCACACTTCTCGGGCCTCTCTGTCCCTCTTGATGCGTTTCAGCTCTCGGACTTTCCAGCCTTCGTACTCCTCCTCCTCGTTTTCTCCGTCAGTGTCCAGACCTTCCAAAGCAGCCAGCGTGCGTCGGTTCTCCTCGAATTCCTTCTTCGCCTCCTCCTCCACGATCTTGAGGGTGTAGCGCCGCCGCTCCTCCACCTGCTTCTTGGCCTCGACCTCCAGCTCTTTCTGCCTCAGCTCCTCGGCCTCCCGCTCCGCCACCGTCACTCTGTCCTTCCTGCGGAGCAAACAAACATAAAGCACACAGATTAATGATGGTCAAAACTCCATTTCAGTGTCGGATCGTTTGCAAATTGAGCCGTTACGTTTGGACCAATCCGCGGACTTCCTCACACACACACACAATCTTTTCTCAGCTGCAGCTCCGCGGATTTCTCAGCCTGAGACGGCGGGACGCGGCGAGGCTGTGTGTGAGCACACACAGACTCACAGCCAGGCTGCGGGTGTGTGTGTGTGTGTGCTCGGGCTGGGTTTCGCTGTGTCTCGCTGTCCGCTCCTCGCAGCAGCGAGCCTCGCAACGTCCCGCCAACACGGCACCCAGACCCCACGCAGCATTCTCATCCGTTTGTCATTACTGGTGTCATTTTCTGGTTGCTAACGCCATTGTGACACAAACACTGATGTTCCGCTGTAACGGTGGTGGACTCATCAGAACAGAGTGGGCGAGCTGACCAATCAGAGCACAGTGGGAGGGAGGGGGGGCAGGAGCTCCAACAAGCCGTTTAGGACAGAGAGTGAATACACGTACTATACAGAGATGCTGTATGAGAAACCAATGTGAGTTTGGAAAATTGAACAATATACATCTATTCTAGTATACCTCAACAATGGAATTATGATCAGTAGAAATGGCCATGTCATGGGACCTTTAAGTTTGGACCTGGACCCAATTTTCAGTTTTTCATCTGATACAAGCCAGTATCATTAACATTTCTGACTACCAAAAAGGGAAATACACTACAGTATCTGACTACAACTACGGTATATCACTTAAATGAATGCATCTCTTTTATGAATATTCTGTATTTATTGACCTTACCCTTCAAATTAAACTATGAAAGTGAGATGTTTGTGGTCATGGCGCTAAAGCCGTAAATGAGATCACTGAGCTACAGTCAGGAGTTAAAGGCACGGTGGTTTCACTGCATACTTGCGAATGAAGACAGGTTTGAGCCGTGGCTCAGCTTCATCCTCGCTGTCTGTGTACTCTTCGTATTCAGACTCGGACTCTGACTCAGCCCCCGACTTCCCTTCCTCCTCCACCTCCAGCACCTCTACGTCGTCACTCTTCCGTTCAGTGGCGCGCTGTCGCATCATCTGTCGCCTCCTCTCAATTTCCTGATCACAATGAGAAAGTCTGCTTTAAAAACTTTTCTTGAATTAGGAAATTGTTAAGTGACTGTGACAAGCCACTCATTATGTTTTGTTCAAATTAAACGGCACAAAAGAGACCTACTTCATCATCCACTTCTTCCTCTTCCTCCTCTTCTTCCTCACTACTCTCCTCCCGCTCAGGGTGCCATGTGCCTTCATCAGAGTCCTCGCTGCTCTCGGCCACAACTTCAGGCTCTGCGATCTGTCTGTGTCTAGCGAGTCTGAGGACAAAGAGAAGGGAAGCAGCGTGTGCAAATTAGTTTAAAATCGAAGCAACATTTAAAAAATCTTAACAGTCAAAACAAACGACGGGTTACCTCTCCTCCACGTCCTCAGACACACGGTTGAGCAAGCGTTTGAGACGTGGGTCGGAGACATCCTCTTCCTCCAGCTCCGCCTCGGCCTCTGCTTCCTTTCCCTTCTTAACAAACTGAAAGTCCTCTTCTTCCTCATCCGAAGACTCCATTGGCGCATAGTCAGGACGTTTACCCGACACGTACCTCTTCACCTTCACCTTCTCCATGGACAGCTCACCTGGGATAAGCAGAGACAACGGTGAGCTTAGACAAGGTTTCTCACCCCTGATGCAGAGGGTGTTTCGGAAGAAACCTCTGAAGTTGGGCCGAATGTCTTTGAGATCTTCACAACACTATGTTAACACTTATTTAAAGGTGGGGTAGGTAAGTTTGAGAAACCGGCTCGAGATACACTTTTTGTTATATTCCATGGAATGCTCTTAACATCCCGATAGCAATGAATATCTTAAGTGCTTTGACAAAAAATTCATTAAGAAAACGTCATCTGTGGAAGCCGTAATACTGTAAAAAGTACGACCAATCATTTTAGCCGGCCCGGCTAAAATAACTGGATGGCCTACCTGCCTGTCAGCCTTCCATCTGTGCACAAACTTATCTCGTGCCCTCATTGGTCATGTGCGCGTTCGTGTGTGTTGGAGGAGGGGCTCTGTAAGGAAATGGCAGAGCTTTTCCGGCTGTGTATTTTCAAATTCTAGCGATCTCGAGCTGGTTTCTCCAAAATTACCTACCCCACCTTTAACTTTCAAAAAACTCTCATAATCTCCATCCCTTAGCATTCCACCATTATTTTCTCAGTCTTTGAACTAAAGGATCAAATTAGCAGGACATTTCACAGATAAGCAGTTAGCGTATATGTTTCTGAGCATGTATGCTTTCAATGGCTAGGGTTATTTAATCTGTCCCATACACACACAAAAAATATCCCACAAGAGAGTAGCTTTTTTTGATTGAATGTACTTTTTGGATTGAAATCCTTTAATTAGGGGTAGAAATGTAACATCTCTGCAAGCACACTTTCTTTGTCAGGTTTAGAGCGTTTAATTTTTGTTGAGTCACAAGAGGGATGATTCATGTCATTTCATTCATTCTTTTTTGGGATGCACTCATCAGGTTTTGGAAGCTGCCACTACAATCCAATAGGAAATATTGAATACTTCTTCCGCCACGGATGTATAACTTAACTGTTCTACTTTGACAGCAGCTTACGTCTCATCCCAACAGATATCACTGGTTTCTTGTAACCAGAAACTACTTTGATCTTCTCTATTATTTTCCCCATGAATCCCGGACAGTTAAAATGTGTTTATTGCAAGGAGCAATCCAATCAGCCAGATGCTTCAAGGAAAAATATCTATTTGTTTGTAAGTAAAAGGCTACAGGCAATATGGACATTTTATTCCAAGGCTCATATTGCTAGATTTGAGGCTCTGGAGGACACATCTGGACCCCAAAAACAACGTAGTAAACTTAGAAGGAAGAAAATACCAAGACGTTTGGGTAATAAAGAATAAGTTGCTAAAGCTTTATATAATGTATCTGTCATTGAGATTGAGCACATCATACGATCATACTTTTACATTATGACAATGTTATGATCCCTGTCTCCATGTGTAAATTGCACATCTTAAACTAAAAACTACTAAAGAAAACTACTTAAATTGATCATAAGTATCATCAATCAGTAAGTATGTGTTATCTCTGCTGCCTGTTTTTTTACTGTCAGAATCAAGGCAATGTCATTTCTATAGCCCATTCTCACAGGCATCTCAAGGATCTGAATGTTTCTTCCATCACTGATTTGTTGTGCATAATGTATGACAGCAGTAGTAAGTGTTGTTCTGCTGTGGCATTTCCAGTTTCACTACGTTGCCAAGAGTAGCCTATGTGGACCCACTAACACACATCACGCTAATATGTGACTGTTTTGGCCTCTTATTATGAAACAACAAGTTATGAAAGGCTGCTGAATTATCTCCTACTTCTTCGTAACATGAACCGTAGTTTACTATTAAGTCCACCTAACGTATTTATGATTCTCTTTTAATCGTTTCACACAGACTTGTAGTGTTATTTGTGTAAACAGTTGCGTTACGCTAAGCTAGATGGCTAACTTAGCATGCCGCTAGCCACCTGCTAGCTAACGGCCAACATCTCACCTTTCTCATTCCGGACCGGCACCGCTCCGGCCGTGGACTGGATCGGAGGGAGCTTCATGTCGTGGGTTTCGCGACTAGACATGACTGCCTGGTCGAGGGTTTCAATTGAATAAGGGTACAAATAAGTATTTAACTTGAAAGACCAAACGAGCTAGCCGACGCCGTCGCTTCAGTCAAACGGAAGTTAACTCTCTGAGGAGCAAGCGGACAGGAAGTGAATCTGTTCTGACATATATTTCCTACCGATGAGAAACAAACACCCAATATCCACGGGTGTATAAAGACAACAATAATAACGCCAATACCGTTTATTACTGATCAGCAGTTACAAATATACCCAAATTGAACTAGTGAAAAAGTTGATAACATATGGTTTATGCTAAATTTAGATATTCTGCAAATCAATAATAGCCAGTCTATATAGCGTATAATACCGCCCTCTAGGGGCTGATACCTTGGCTAGTTATTGAAGAATTTGGTTGGATGTTTTTTTTCTTACTTTTATATGTTAATTTTATTGTAAAAGTGACTGAACCTGTGTGTGTTTCTCTAGCAAAACCACAAATATTACATCCTTTAGCCGACAATTATTAATACTAATTTATACTGGTATAAAAATATAAAATCTTTGGCCGTCTGGTAGGTGGTACAAAAAGGACAAAGGACAAAAACCAGCAGACAGTTTCATTCCACAGGCCATCATTTCATCTTACTGTACAATATTTAATTTCATATTCTGCCCTTATATCATATTCTATGTACGTGTATATAGACTTTTTCTTGCACTATTTATTTATTTTTAGGGTCTGAGACCAGAGGTCGGCGAATACCCTATTGTAATCGCTACGCATATCTAGGGTGCGGAGATGAACAAAAAAGCCTCTTGGAGGGGTATAAAAAAAACGTACAGGAATTCGGCCATTTTGAATTTGGCGTCGGAAAAACGCGATTTAACACATGGAACACGATGATGTCATAACTCCAACTGACATGCGCAGAACGCCACCAAACTTCACATGATGGTTAACACTGCGGCTCTGAACAGCTCTACGTAACATCTGATGTTACATAATGTGGCGTTACCATGGCAACACATCCTTCGCCATAAAACACGATGTCGCTGTAACTCCAATGGACACGGTCCGATCGTCCCCCAATTTTCACTTGTATGTCACCGGTCCATGCCTCAACAGCTCTACGTGAAATCTGAGATCTCACCATATGCCCTTTCCATGTATCCCTTGCCAAAAAACACGATGTTGTCGTAACTCAATGGAAAATCGTCCAAACGGTACCAGACTTCAGATGATGGCTAATGGTCCAGCCCTGAACAGCTTTATGTCCATTATGGGGTGTCATAATATGCCGTTGCCATGGCGACAGATCCCTCACCATAAAACACGATGTCGTCATAACTCAATGGAAAATCGTCGAAACGGCACCAGACTTCAGATAATGGGTAATGGGTGAGTTTTCCTCAAAAGCTGTTGCCATGGCAACACATCCCTCGCTGTTAAGCACGATATTGTTATAACTCCTGTGTACAGGGCCGCCCCTCCCTACAGGCTGATCACGCAGACTGCGTGGGGCCTCACCTGTGTCCAAACGGCGGTACTGCAACTTCCGTATCAGTCCGTGATGTCCCTGGGCCCTGTAAATCGTTGGATACTTTTTTTTTAACCAAATAAAGTACCCAGTATGAACATTTGTATAGCCCTTATTAAAAACAGTAGGTCCTCAAGTTGTAAAATGTGCTAATAACGTTATTCTGAGAGTTATTTTCCTCTGCATTAAAAACGTGCATTGAGTGGGAGCTCGGGGGGCGGGGCTTAAGGGGCAACTCAACTGCACAGCGCACATACGGGTACTTCTGCTCTGACAGCCAGGCATGACGGGTAATCTGTGACGTTTCGCTCTCTCAAAAGTTGGGCCATTTTGTCCTCATGCGCCAATGAGCAGCTCTCATAGGAAAGAACGAGACCCCACCTCCCACGCTGTATCCAGTTCTTATTAGACATCCATGAGGGAGCCTCATCTGCGGCGCACCTACAGTGTAAGCGCGCCACAGATTCGCCGCTGCGAGGCTCCACTAGCACCCCCCCAACCCCCGCTGACGCTCGCGACTCAGAGGGTCTCATCATATAACTTTGCGTGGGGCCACAAGTTGGCCAGTTGCGGCCCTGCCTGTGTAAATGGTCAAAAAGTGCTCAAACTTCACATATGAAGGTTTTCTCATAACTTTTTGTTTTAATTATTATTATGGGGTGTCATCAAATGCCGTTGCCATGGCAACAGATCCCTCGCCATCAAACACAATGTTTATGATACTGCTGTAACTCCTATGTACGTTATCCGATCGGCCTGAAACTTCCCACGTTTGCCAACGGCCGAGTCCTTGAGACACCTATGTGACACGTCGACGTGCGAACAACAGCCTGCGGAGCGTCGAAAACCCGCTTAATGCTTTTTGCAGCTTTAATTATTTTTGAATTTGTGTTATGTTCTATTTAACTATGTTGCATTGTTGGAGGAGTTCGGGACATACGATTGTCATTGCCATTTCTACAATGTAGCTTATGTGCATATAAAAACCTTTGAATTTGAATTGAATAACTGATATTACTCACTTTTAACATACCCTTAATTTAGTTATACAACCAAAATATGAGAACATACATTACAAAACCACACATCTGCATATGAAATATGATTTATTTCTATAATTTACAACTAATAAATGTATCCTATTGTAATTCAAATGGTGTGCTCTCCCATGTGTTGTCAGAGCTGGACCCCTCTCTGTCTGAAGAGCTCCTCCAGCCTCTCCTCCAGAGCGTAGTTGGTTCCTCTCAGGCCCTTCACCACCTCACTGGCCCACACAAAATACTCCTGCACACGCTCGGCTGTCCAGCCTGCAAAACACACAGAGAGGGAGGAATATGGTGAGTAAATACATTGTCATGCATCGGTACACAGTACTTCACCAGGAGTTGTTACAATTTTACTACATGTATCTCACAACTGCAACATAAACTCTCCTTTCAGAGTTTTATTTTATTTTTAATACAGTCCATTAAGTTGTTGGACAGGTTTATTTCCCGTATGAGTACATTTGTTTTGGTGACTTCAATACACTTTATCATGTGTACCCTTTTTTGTATAGTCATGAGTTTATCAAATCCATCCTATAACAAAACCAACAATGCATTTTCTCACTAACAAGAATTGCCTGTGTAGCTAAAGCCTCGTTTAGCTGAAACACTTCCCAAGCAAGTATCTTATCTCTTTCAGCTAATTGTTTATTAATGATGTATTTAAAACATAAAAAGAAATCAAATGAAACTAGATATTTTTAAACCGTTTTAAAGATTTTCATCCTCACTTGGGGATAATTTTTCTTGGTTCTGAGATCAAAAAATAGTGCAGGGAAGTCAAAAAGAGATTAAATAACACATTGTGGATTTTGTTCTCTATATCGGATTTGTTAAGAAACATGAAATAAATCCCATGAAACATGAAGTCCTTTGACAGTTAAAGAGAGGTGCTGACCGGAGGGGGTGCAGCGGTTCAGGTCCCTCAGGTTGTAAAGTTTATCAGCCAGTTTCACCACTTTGGCTTGGCGGCTGCAGTGAGCTGCGTGTTCCACCTGCTGACGCTTCCTGTCCTGTTTGGACAGGCTTTTGTCGTCCGTCACCTCCTGAACGATACGAGCCACGATCGGTCCAAACTTCGCTTCTAGCTCTGCAAAAGAAGTGTCCGTGTCCTCCACTGTGTCATGGAGCAGTGCCGCCTGCAGGAGAGACAACACACAGGCTCAGCTACACATGAAACACTTTGAGTAACAGCAACTCACTGATAACAACTGATAACGTACCTGCAAAACCTCGATGTCTGCGACCCCTCCTTCATGGCTGATGATTCTTGCAACTCCTTAAAAGTACACACAGTGAGCAATAAGAGGAAAGTCCACATGATATCTTAAAGGGGCCCTGTTATGCTCAATTTTGGTTGGGGGTGTGGAAGAGAGAATCCTTCTAGTTAAAAGTGAAAGCCTTTTATTGTCATTATACAAAAAGTACAACGAGATTCAGAGTGCAACTCTGTCCCAGTGTGCAAAAACTAGACATACATAACATTAAAAACACGGCAGTAGGACAGACAACATAAGCAATCATACGTGGGGAATAAATAGTTGATATCAAAATAGTTTATAATTTTTAAAGTGCATTCAAAGTGTGTATTATGTGTGGAGATGGTTACGGTTATTGCATTAAGTGTGGTGGTTGAGCAGCCTGACGGCCCAGGGGTAGAACCTGTTTTTTAGTCTGTTTGTCCGTGACTTGAAGCTCCTGTATCTCCTCCCAGAAGGCAGGAGAGAGAACAGTCTGTGACTTGGGTGAGAGCTGTCCTTTATTATTTTAAAATAAAGAACAGTCTGTGACCTGGGTGAGAGTTGTCCGTTATTATTTTATGTGCTCTGCTGAGGCACCGGGAGGAAGGACTTTAGGGATTTTAACCTTTGCAGACCATTTAACTTGCACACAAACCTATATCACAGTAATTGCATTTAATAGTAATAACCATACACTTTATTATAATGTATTTCGTAATGCGAGCCCGTATGTTTTTTCTCCCTACAACCTTTAATAGCTAAACAGCAACTTTTATTTCAGAATGTATGGGTAGATCTTAAATGCTAAACAATATTGCCTCAGTAATGTACATTATTTTGAAACCTACTGTTACTATTGAAATTATTAGTCTAACTAATGTTACATTGATAACATTTCCAATATGGATACTTACCAAGTATCAGGTATCCTAGCCACTTCGTAAAAACATCAGAAACTATTTAAAAATCCATTTGTAGATCTTCCACAAAATGATATAGCTAAATGACATGCAAAAAATAAAAACAAATAGCTCCTACAGAATATATCACTTCATGTTGCAGCTGTCAAAGTGGAGCTACATTTTATTATTAAAAAGGCTACAGTGTATGCTGCAAGGTAGCTTGTCAACGGTGAAACACAAAGCCTTATATTATCTCAGACCAGTATATTCTTTTATTATTAAACATTTGGTGTAGTGAAATTACAATATTTACTTGAGAATTGTAGTAGAGTAGAAGTATAAAGTACGTCAAAATTGCACTTAAGCACAGAGTTGTCTTATTTTGATTTCTGCATTGTTGGACTTTAAGATTGCGCAGCAGCACCTGAAGGCATCACCGCAGAGTTAAAACCTAAAACCAGTCTGTGGTTAAAGCACCGCTACCTACCGATGGGGTGATTAATGTACGGCGTTGCCTCTGGGTCTTTGCGTCGCTGGTTACGGTGTTTCTCTGCGGCAAAATTCACGGTCTCTAACAACAAAACTGCGTCGGAATTCATGGTTGTAGAATAACATGTAGCGAGAGAGAAACAGCGTCAGGTGATTTAAACTTTCGACGTCGCAGCGTCGCTGTCAGTGTATCAGTCCGCTCCCTCTGGTGTCCGGGGGGAAACAGATGACGGAGCGATTGATTCCGCTTATTTAGCTACGGAAGCAGGTAGCTTTTAATATCAGCTTAACCTACCTTCTGCTTATTTTATCTACATATATTCACCCCCTTATATATGTCATGGATTGAATATTCAGGTAACATTATTTCTACATAACTGTCAGCTTTTTAACGTTAATCGTTGTTTTGAATATTCCTGTGATGTGAAGGATGTGTTTTTAGCCTACAAGCTAGCCTAGCTATTAGATGAACCACAGCATATAATGCTAGTCATTTGTATGTGTTACTATTGCGTGTAGCCTCTCTGTAATTATATGAGCCACATGTTTTTGGAGTATTTACGCTATGTAACACTTATTTGTTCTGTGCAATGAATGTGTGAGTTTTGCCTTGTTCCAGTGTTGGTCCAGAATGGCTCACAGTGCCAGGAGAGATTGCCCGGAGCTCCCTGACTTCTCTCTGCTTAAGAGGCTGGCCAGAGATCAGCTCATCTACCTGCTGGAACAGGTAGGACCAAGTCACAATATGTCCTAAAATAATGTATTATAGGCTGACATCTGGCTGCTAACATCCTACTGATATGACTGGCATGTAAATAATGCAGATGTTAATGTTTTTAATAGGACCTCTATTGAATACACAACTGTTAATTACCAAAATAAACTTTACAATGAGGGGACTATGAGCGATTACGAAGGAGACGTTGCACTGCCGACCACGCCCCATCTGTCCTCATGTGATGGTCAGAAGTGTTACGTCAGATTCACTTTTGTACAGTCTACTCACAAAAGTGAGTTCCATTATTGTCAACAAATCTTATGAAAAAATAAAAATCACGAGCAATAAGTATTTCTAAATATCCAAAGCCTGTGACTCTGTGCCCAAAAAAGAGCTCCACTGGTGTCCAAATACTATTAGAAACCCACTGTTGCACTTTGAAATATGCTCCTTCATTGCCATGAACACGCCTTAGTTTATTTTGAATCAATTCCACTGGATCGTCTTGCTGACAAAAATACTCACGACAAAACCAAAGGAAATTCAACTTCTCTTTTTTTGCCTAATATTTAAAGATATACTTCCACAATAGGAAGCAATGGGTAAATAGGGTCGGACAATAATGTTTGACATTATGGGGCGTCATTTTTAAATACGTTTAATTTGATTACATGCAAAAGAACATTTAAAAAATATAACGCTCGCAAAACAGCAGGGTTACCAGCGCTGAACATTGCATACACATATTTAGTTTTTTGCTATTTTAGTTTGAAAACCAACATGCTGAGCCTGACACTTAAAACTTAAATGTTTTATTACCCAATGTTGCCAAATAACACTTTAGCGAGCATCTCTTCACCCCCCTCTCTCTATCTCACAGCTGCCGGGGAAGAAGGACCTCTTCATTGAGCCAGACTTGATGAGCCCGCTGGATCGTATCGCCAATGTGTCAACACTAAAGGTAAACCTCTGTCAGATTGTCTCTTTTTTTATTGAAAATCTACAGTTCTAATATCTTTTTCAAAATGTTTCTTTTTTCTTTCTTTTTTTACAGCAACATGAAGTTGACAAACTCTACAAAGTGGAATATAAACCTGTTATCAGCACCTCAGATCAGTGAGCCCTGCACCCTTCATACTTCTTAGATCATCTAAGACCTTTATATTACACCCACGCACGCCTGATACGACTGCCTCACAATGTGGCATTACTCTCTTGCAGGCTCTGTTTCCTGATCCGGCCAAGAATACAAACTGTGAAATGGATATGTGGTAAGTAGAGTTGGATTTGTTTTGTAGGTTAGTATGAAGCTTATGATTTAGAGAGATGAATACATAACACCATTAAACTAAAGCAGAATACTTATTAACTGAAAAGGTAATTTGATTTATCGCTTAAAAAAATATAAATCTTCAAATTTGTAAGGAACTTGGCTATGGTTGGAATTTATTATTATAATTTTTTTAATGATTGAGATTATTATTAATTGCAAGTTTTTGTAAAGTTAGCTCAACACACATTGAAACGTTCTGTTCTTTAGCTGAAGTGAAAACCTAAAAAAGGGTGCCCAGGTGCTACCAACAGTGATGATATGTTACTTAATATGCTGATGTATTTGCATATCAAAATATATATACATATATAAATATATATATTTTGAAAAAGCATTCTTATATTTCTCAAAATAAGCGCTATAAAAAGGTGTGTTGGTGCCAAAACTAAGGTGTGGTATTGGCACTTGCATCAAACAGTTCCCACTATACCCAGTCCTTTATACATGTAGTTACTTAGTTATAACATTGCCCCCTTGAATAATGTACAATAAGCCTATTAAATAATGTAATGTTTATTCCTTCCTGTTGCAGATGTGGCCAATGCAGACAAAGCAGCAGGAAAATTTAGAAGATACAAGATAATCTTTACCCCACAGAAGGTATATCTGTTTCCCCTCTGCTGTTGTGCACAAACTCTGCTCTTTGGATGAAGTCCTTGATATTAACCTTCTGCCTCTTCTGTGCAGTTCTATTCATGCGATGCGGTGCTAGAGGAGCAGGGGATCATCGGCGGTGAGCATTCTTCTTCTTTCACATTGTGTTTCAGTAGCAGTGATCAGTGTGGGTGAGAGGAAATGTTACACTTGTTGTTGTCTTCCCACAGAATATGTGACCACTGATGAGTGGTCTTTCTATCTTCTTCCTCTTGACGATGACATCATCAGTCTGGAGCTGCCGGAATTCTTCCGAGACAACTTCCTGGTAAATAATATGCATGGGGATATTAGTTGATTGACTATTTAGTAAATTACCAAATCATTTATTGTACTGTCTGACATTATGATATAGAAAAATATGGCAGATGAAACAAATTGTCTGATTAAATCAGCAAGAAAATATGTATATGTACAGTTTGTCAGATAGCAGTAAAGAAAATATCAGGCCATACAAACAAATCATCAAAAATCCATTGTCTTTGCTGGAATGGCTGTAAATGTGAATTCTGATCTGATGCAACTAAGAATTATTTTCATTATTAATCACTTTATAAATATTAGGAAATTGTGAGGAAAGAGGCGCCATTTTGTAATCTATTAACCAATTAACCATACCTTTTGTATAAGAAAGTAAAATGTCATTGTAGCACATACAGTAGCACCCGAGTAGCAGAACATGAGCATCACGTTGTATTTCCTCCCACAGGCGGGGGACCAGCGCTGGGTGAGGACCGCCGGCAGCGCTCTGCACCTCCTTCACTCGCTCTACGGGCCCTTCTCAAAGATCTATGGGATTGGACGATGTTCCAAGGTGCGGTATTATCAACGACCAAAAACTATCAGATAATATTTAAAGGGGCTCTATTATGCTCATTTTCAGGTTTATATTTGTATTTTGTGTCTCTACTGCAGCATGTTTACATGTTTCAATGTTCAAAAAGGTCTTTATTGTTCTCATACTGCCTGTGCTGCAGCACCTCTTTTCACCCTCTGTCTGAAACCAGAGTCCAGTCTGCTCTGATTGGTTAGCTTGCCGGCTCCGTTGTGATAGGTAGAGATGTCCTGCCCCTTATTCATCACGTACAATGTGTTGGAGCGCTAGCCAATAGAAGCACAAGTGTTACGTTGTGATGTTGGAGGTTGTGGCTCAGTGTGTTGGTGCGCTGATCTTCGGAATATGAGGGAACTGGTTCAAATCCCGCTGCAGTCAGCATTCAGCTGTGTCCTTGACCAAATCAAATGTATCCTGAGTGGATTGCCCATAGTATTGAATGTATGTGAGTCGCTTTGGATAAAAGCGTCAAACATGTCACATGTAATAATAATGTAATAAATGTCACTGTTTTACGGAAGTTAACAAAGGAGTCTAATGGAAAAAAAAACTACATAACTCCCTACAGGAAAGGGAAAACCCCAAAAATATAGTTAGTTTTCCCAAATAAAGTTTCTGCTGTGAACTGCCCCTAATTCTGTCCATTATTAACAGATGGCGTACGAGTCGTGGAGGGAGCAGGTGGCAGAGGGAGAACAGAGAGCTCAAAAGGCTGAAATAGGAAAAGTGTTTCTCATCGACAGAGGTGAGGATGCATGTGTCCTCTCAGTGGATGACATGCAGAGATGTGCTTTCTGTCCTCCATAACTCTGTCTTTATTTTTGCAGACGTGGACTTTGTCACTCCTCTGTGCTCACAAGTTGTGTATGAAGGACTCGTGGACGATATTTTTAGAATCAAATGTGGTAGGTATTTGTATGATTCTGCTCTGGTTGCAGATTTATTTGGACATGTCTCATCACAGTGTCTGTTCTGCAGGATGTGTGGAGTTTGGACCTGAGGTTACCTCCTCTGACAAAAGTATGAAAGTCATGCTGAACTCTCAGGATAAGGTAGGAAGCTGCTGACATTAGAGATCTTCCATTGTCATGACTTTAAGTTAATCATCTGTTGTAACTCTTGCTTGGTTCATAGGTTTTCAACGAAATCAGAAACGAGCATTTCTCAAACGTTTTTGGCTTTCTCAGTCAGAAAGCCAGGAATCTCCAGACGGCATATGATGTGAGTTATTGTTGATAACCCTCATTATAACTTGGCCGGTGAGTGACAGAGCTAACACTGTGATGATTCTACAGAAGCGACGGGGGATGGACATAAAGCAGATGAAGACGTTTGTGTCAGATGAGCTTAAAGGGTTAAAACAGGAACATCGGCTGCTTAGCCTACGTGAGTGTTACAGCAGTAAATCAAATCAACTGGCATGTGCTGTATACATCCAATAATAATTACTGACATTCTCTTTCAGACATCGGTGCCAGTGAGTCCATAATGAAGAAGAAAACTAAGCAGGACTTTCAGGAGCTGCTGAAGACAGAACACTGTAAGAATACTAAAGTGTCCAAATCTTATATTAATGATTTCAAAGGGTTCACTTCTGACTCGCTTTCTGTTCCAGCTTTACTTGAAGGATTTGAAATCCGGGAAAGCATTTCTTTCATAGAGGAGCACATCAA